CTATTTAGTTACAAGAGTGTCATTCTCAGATTCAATCCCCCATTACTCCACGTGTGTGACTTTGTATATACACCATTTATTTACGAAAGTGCCATCATCTCCTTTGGAGCAAATGAACGACTGCTCATGTTCCAGCAGAAGAAGAGCAAATTATGGCATCATTTCGGAGTATCGTGTCCACTTGAAGGACATCGGTATTTGCCAATTCTCTCGTCTCCTTAAGTCCGCCCAGAGGACAGATCTCTCCGTCCGCGTTTCTGATCCTCAACAGAGTTGGAAGGAGAAGAAACTACCTCCTCCTCAGGCCGGAGAGGATTCGCGCTAGCTCTGTCCCAACATCTCCGCTGTCGTGCTCCAACGAGGAGCTGCACTCTGTCTTGGAGCATCTGCCCTCTGAATCAGACAAAAAGCATATGAGATATTGTCACTACCACCAGTACGTGAGCCACCCAGCGTCTATGTGCAATGCCGTTCAAAGAATCCTCCTTACAAAGATCGAAGATGGCACTTTGGAGCTCTCCGGAAATAGCCAGAGCATCGACTCCGATCCTCTTCTCTCTCTCGCCATAAAGGAAAGGAGACATGTACCATGGTGGCCAGCTACTCCGGAGACAACTCCAATCAGGAGATTCGCGCGTGACTCCGTGACAATCGATCGGAGTGCACATTTAATGCCGACTCCAGAATTAGTTGATGAGAGATTTTATGTTTTGGTACTATTTTATTTAATGCATGCCATGCATAAATAATTGCATTCACTTGCAGTCAATTTTCATGCTGTGTAGTGAAGAATTTGTTACTAATTTATCAACGTCCTTTATTTTCCATGAGTGACACCGCTGAGCTAGTTAGCTTTAGAGTGGGACGTGGATCAAAAGCCCTCAATCAATTACATCACACGACCTCGAATCACCGGAGAATGGATCCGCCGTCGTGAGCCGTGGTGGGAAAAGGTGGTTCCGACGATCCTACCGTTAGATCTTTGTGATATTGATGTAAAAATGCTCAGAAGATTATGGATAATAAAACCCCTAAGTTTTGGGCCAGTCAATTCCGGTCAACAGTGGATTTGACCGGTCAATGACTAGGCTTAGATAGACAAAATTGTCATTTTATTATAGAATAAAAATTAAATGCCTTAGGGACTTCCACATGTCATTTAACATTCAAAATTTAACCGATGGGACAGAAAAAGGGGATGCGTGCTAACGACGAATTGTTTAGAAATTTCTTTTTAGTTTTAAAATTTAGGAGGCATTTTAATAAAAGACTAATAATTCAGGAGGGATAAGTGTAATTTGTCTGACCTATATATATTTATAAAAAGTTTTTCGATCGTAAAAAAAATTTGTTTATCAACAAATTTTAGCACTATATATATATATATATAAATTTATTGTAAGAGATGATTGTTATTGTTAGCGCAAGTGCTTCCAAGGTCACTAAATGAATTTGTAAATTTTATATGTATAAAATAATCTATCATCTTCTCAATTATATCAATATTGGTCATTTTATCAAAAGAAGAAAATAATAATATAGGTCATTTACTGAAATTTCTCTGATTTTTTTTTTTTTTTTTTTTAAATTGGTTAGGTGTCCATATTCTCTGATCCACATGTTCATCCTCTCGGACAGAGACATAAATTAAAGCCGAACATAGAATATATAATGGAATAAGTAATGACACAGTTATGCTATTATAATAATGATATCGTGTAAACGTAGCACATATATTCAGGACGTGTATGTACATCGCGAGAGTATGCTAATACACATGTTAATGTTCGCATTATATATATATATATATATTATTTAATTTGTAGGTTCTGCTTCTAAGAAAACTGTTTGACGACGAAATACAGCAATATCTCAGTATCTTTTTCCTGCGTTACCCGTACATTTCTTAACGAGATCAACCGTTTTCTCGATCTCTTTTTTCGTACGTTTTTTAAATCATTTGTCCAATACCAAAAAGAATGTCATATATAATAATAAAATCCATTAGACATACAATGACAAATAACCTACACAACTTCTCTAATGGTTTTGTTTACTGAAAACAAAAAGATTCCATTACAGGATTATATAATCAATTTTTTGAACTTCCAAGTGAAACCGTTGACTCTTTTATATACTCAGTTGGGACGTTGAGGAATTCTTCTGTCGCGATCTTCTTGCATGCGTCTATATATTATTATTATTATTATTATTATTATTTAAAAAGAGAAAAACTAATCAGTAATTTGATCTACTTTATTGCTAGTAATTAGCTTTCTATACTGGATCCAATTTCCCTTTCGCAATAATGGAGCTGATATCATGCAGATGTTACATATTGGTTGGAATAAATTCATGGAGCTAGTTTGTAGCTTATAAGGATGATATGTGATCCACGTAATGTTAGTTTTTTCATTGACAATACTTGTACATGTGATATATATAAGGGCGTAAAAGACGTAGCTTACAAAGAATTGAAGTCCGCCAAATGATATTGTGTTCGCCAGTACGTGCATAAAAGCTTAGGAATAGTATTCATTAATCTAAACTGCCACTTATTATTATCAAATGCATGCATCTCAAAATTTGTATATATGTATATATATTGGAGTCAGATTTTATCCTTCAATTTGATCATGAGTTAATTAGATGCAATTGACTCATGACAACTACAACACATCAGAAGTCCACGGCGACTACTCTGCCTAGGAGTTAGACAACTCTAATATTTGAAAAATATCATTTCAATCCTTCCATTTGAGATTCAGGAAGAAATCTCATTTGAAATTATGTTGCTATGATTTGTTAGATACGGTTTCCACATGGAAAAGGGAAGTGTCTTTTCAGGATTGGGAAAGTCAAGTCTCATATGAGATTGGGAAACTTGCTTAAAAATGATACTTTCCATAAATAATAATAAATAAAATAAAAACAAAAACAAAAAATGATCCCAGTTTAAAAAATTTGAAATATTCTTTAATTGATCTTTTAAAATAAAAAAATGATCCCAGTTTAAAAAATTTGAAATATTCTTTAATTGATCTTTTCCTACTTCTCACTTTAGATTAGACATTAATTAAAACACGAAAATTTAAACAAGTAATTTGAATCCCTCGTGTATACAATTAATATCAATAAGTAAAATTTCTTAAGCAATGTCTTTAAAATGAAAAATGGTAGTTCTATTCACACCAATTTTTATTCTCCACACCCTACATAATTTTGAAAGAGCTAAATTTACTTTTTACACACTCCTATTATTCTAAGATTACCCTTAACTATTTTTATAAAATAATTAATTCTTATCCACTTTAATTTTCTTTTCACACCCACCATTTTATTTTAGTTTGTTATTTAAATAATATTATTTCTCTACCCCTTCATATCTTTTTTTTTTTGTTCAAGATTTGGGTGTGAAGCCTTTTTTCAATACAAAAGTAAAAGAAAAAAGAAATAGAAGATAAAATGCAAAAAAATAATAAAAAAACAAAATAAAATGATTATTCTTTAAAAAAAAGTAAAAAATACAAACATAAAATGAAAAAGAAAACAAAATAAAAATCGTCATACAACCACTAACAAAGAAAATTTAACATTATATCATGCAATTTTTTGGAATAGTCATTGAAATGTGGAAATTAGTGGTTTTTTTATTTATAAATTTTAAAATAGCAATAGTTTATGATTTTGGATATAACATGTCAAGTATGTGGAGAGAGATAAAAATTATATAATTAGTTTTTTAAAATTGAATTTTATTATATAATTAAATATACTATATTGTCCCTTTTTGTTATTGTATGCGAGGGTTCTTTTGTCATAAAAAAACTTAAAATAAATAAGGGTGTGGAGAGTAAAAAGAGGTGTGTGAATAGAATTATAGAACTACTTAATGTTTCCCTGCTAATTAAAAATTATAATAAAAGATGAAGAGATGGGGAGGTTGTTCTTCAATAAATGCAATATGCGGCATTTGGCTTCTCCATAAAATTGTATTCCACGATGTAAGACTAATTAAGTTATTATTGTAATATTTTAATCCCCGCAAACCCCATCTCATAGAATGTAATGTTATTAAGTTGTCATTAGTGCTCTTTATTGTAGAACTTATCATGATTATTAATCTAAATTTGATGTGCGTAATATGTTGCGCAAAATAGTACTTTCATAACAACTTAACTAGGAAATTAATTTAACGTGAGCCCACATATTGTTAAAATTCTTTTTTCTTATAGGAAATAGAGACCTCTTGCAATACATGCCATGTTACAGTGCATAATTAAAAAAAAAAAAAAAAAAAAAAAAAAAAAGCTGAAAGAAGAGAGGGACAGGGACTTTTGATTTTCACATTTAAATTTTAAATTTTTTATAAAAAAAAAATATTATAACAAAATTATAATTATAATTATAAATTTAAACACATAAAAAATTTCGCGTCTAAGCATGGCCATGGGGCATTGCATTAGTTTATCATTCTCACTCTTGTAAAACAGTCTTTAGACTTGCCCTCCGAAAACCTGCACCGCATTTACTCTCTCATTTATTTCCCCCTTCTGCCCTCTCTCTCCCAAACCAAACAAACAAAACCACAACATAACTTCACTATTCCACTCAATAGTATGACCACCAGTGCAGTTATGTGCAAAGTAAATAAATAAAAGCGTAATAAAAGATAAAAACCACTTCTCAATTCTCATTCCGTACACATCACGCACGTGCACCTCACGTGCCTCTTACAATACAAACATTATACAGTATATGTTTGTACTTTTTTACGGGTGAGAACTAGAAAAAATAAATTATTTATTGTTCTTTAATTTTTGTTTGTTAAACGTATATTAAAAATTATCTAATTTATATATTTGTTTAATCTAATTAAATTTTGATCAAATTTTATAATTAAAAATTAATACTATCGTAGAAATGATGGGGATACGAACAATATTTGTATATTGCATTCCTCGTTCCATAGTCGAGCGAGTGCGACATTTATTCTAAACGAAACGACATTTTATATACCAAAACCAAAATCACAAATTACTCTCATTTCTCTCTCTCTCTCTCTCTCGCTCACGCACTTCTTATCTCTCTTTCTTCTGACTCTCACACTCAAAAATGTCGTCATCTCCACCGCCATGGCCGAGCGTATTCGGAGCTTCTGCAACTCCGATGAGCTTCGGCACTCCGCCTCCAACCCACACGGTGTCGTCCCTTGGGAACATCAGCCCGAGCATCTTCATCATCATCATCATCCTCGCCGTCACCGTCATCGCCTCCGTCTCCCTGTGCTTCCTCCTCCGCCACCTCAACCGCCGTTGTCTCCGTCACCTCTCGCCGTTATCGTCATCCTCTTCTCCTTCCTCCTCCACCGCCGCCGCCGCCGTCGGAGACTCTCACCGCGCGATCTCCAGCCGCCGCGTCTCGCCGGCGGAGAATAACCATAACTCCTCCCTCATCGAGGCCCTCCCTCTCTTCGCCTTCGCCTCCGTCACTCGTCGCGGCGCTGCCACGTCGGCGATCTTCGCCGCCGACTGCGCCGTCTGCCTTTCCAAATTCGAGCCCGACGACCAGCTCCGCCTCCTCCCGCTCTGCTGCCACGCATTCCACGCTCTCTGCGTCGACACGTGGCTGCAATCGAACCAGACGTGTCCGCTCTGCCGATCGCCGATCTTCGTCTCCGACGCCGAAATCCTCAAGAGCTTGGGAGAGATCAATCGCCGCGGCGACAACAGTGGAAGTTTCAGGCTGGAGATCGGGAACGTCAGCCGCCGCCAAACGACGCCGTCCGACAGCAATTTCTCCGGAGATTTAGGGCGGCGATCGCGGTCCTATTCCATTGGATCCTTCGACTACCTTGTGGAGGAAGATTCCGAGGTCGTCCTCACCAATGCGCACCGGAGAACCATTTCCGACTTCAAGGAACCTCCTCCTCCAGCGAGCATTCCTGTGCCGGAGCCAAGTGTGGTGGCTGAGGTGGCGTCTTCGGGGAGGAGTTGGCTGAAAGAGTACGTGGATAGGTTGTCCATGTCGTTGTCTTCGCGAGCGATGTCGTTTCGGAGTTCGGGGAGGTTTTTCAGTGGGAGCAGTCGCCGGAGCGACGTCGTCTTGGGTGTCGGAGAGTGGGATTTGGAGGCGAGTAGAGTCGGCGAAGAGATCAGCGAGCTGTTTCGGTGGGTGTCAGGGGTATGACTTCGTAAATATGCAGCAATATTTAGGATTAAAAAGGGAAATTAAAATACGCAGAATTTTTTTCCCAGTCTAGCTTTTGCTGTTTTAGCTCCTATTTTTTGTCCGAGTATTAAATTTGATGCAAAAAATTTGTCACAATTATGGCAACTATGGATTGTGGAATGTGAATTTTGTAAAGTCTTGGAGAGGATTCCGCAAATTTTTGAATGGAAATAAAAATGATATTATTCCTGCTTGCAGCTCTTTCTATGGAAATTTCTTCGATCGAGTTAAATCATTGAAAAATTCGTGACAAACAAACAATTACAGTAAATACTTCGGAGATATATATATTGACGGTGCGGATCACAATTTCGGAAAGGTCAACGGTTAATATTTTACGTTGGAGATCCTTTTTTGCATGCTATGATGTTTGGAATCAGAGGTAAGGCTGTCGCATGTATTTTTATTTTATCTTTTTTTTTTTTTTTACTGCTACAAGACTGTTCGAAGATATTCAGATAAAATAAAAATGCTCGAAAGAAAAATGCAATCAATGTGTTATTTCCGTGATTTGGTGGGTGAGGGCACACGTTAGTAAATGATGTGCTCATAATTTATGATGGATCGCCTAGTTATCACCAACCTTTTAATGGAAAAGCTAGTAATTGCCCAACCTCTATTTTGATTTTTTGAAATGGGTCCATTAAATTTTGGACAAATTACAATTATTCCTCCTGAATTATAAGTTTTGAAGAAAATGTCCAATAAACTTTAAAAGTAACAAATTTTCCTCTTAAACAATTCATCGTTAGCACACGTCCTCCTTTCTCATCTCCTCAGTTAAATCTTGAACGTTAAGTGCCACGTGAAAGTTGTTGAGACATTTAGGGCCCGTTTAGTTCGTTGATTCGAATTTTTAATTCGAGTTGAGATGTGATTTTATATGAGAGCTTTTTACTGTAGCAAAAAAGTTAGATGTGAACAAATTTTCCTCTTGAACAATTCATCGTTAGCACACGTCCTCCTTTCTCATCTCCTCAGTTAAATTTTGAACGTTAAGTGCCACGTGAAAGTTATTGAGGCATTTAATTTTTATTCTATTCTAAAATGACGATTTTGCCCATATAAACTGGTCAATCTCACCCAATCAGAAGCATCTCAACCCTCACTCTCTTTCCTCTTCCTTTCCCATGCACGACCACCAAGCTCCGGCAAGTATTTCGACGTCCATTTTTGACACCTCCTGGCTCATCAAAAAGCTCTCGTCGAGCCAAGTCTGGATTGATGTCTTGCGGCTACCAACTCTGCCGGATGAAGGCACACTTTCCGGCCGAAGTTTTGAAAAACCCAAAACTTCCAATGGCCATAACTTTTTCGTCCGACCTTCGATCAGAGTGATTCTAGTCTCTATGAACTCAGAGTGATGAGGGGAAAAAGATCCACCCGCCAAAAGAGCTTCACCACAATCGCCCTCTATGGCCGCCACTCCTCCTCTCGGAAAACCACAGTCCCGGCGGGAAGTGCACCGCCCCCATCATTTCACTCAGAATTCATAGATGAGTCAATCCCAACCAGTAGCCGCCGCCATCCTCACTGATTTGTAGGAATTCAAAGTTGTTGCCACCGCTCGCCGTGGAGGAGTTTAGTTCCGTCAATTTTGGTTGCCATTTCTCATGTCGTTGGTGTCACAACACTCAAAAAGAATTGGGTAAGAAAAGTCCCAACTCAATTTCTCTGATCTGTGGCTCAAAAACCGAGAACCAAGTCGTTGGAAACTGAGAACCAAGTCGGAAAATTCGAATGGATTTTACTATATTTATCCCAACACAGTAAATTACTTTTTTACCCTTAAAATGAGAGTCACATGCCATCCACTTGACACTTAACATTCAAAATTTAATTGCGGGGGTGGAAAAGGGGGACTCGTGCTAATGGCAAATTATTCAGAGGGAAAATTTATTACTTTTAAAATTTAAGGGACATTTTATTCAAACGCTTATAGTTCAGAGAGAATAAATGTAATTTGTCCTTAAACTTTTTTTGTATATTTACTACAATATTTGAAATTTTAGTGATTCTATTTTGTGACGGGCCTGCACAGATTAATGTTGACATTGAGTCAATAGACTTTTTTTCGAACATTAGATTAATATAGTTTGTTGAAAATTTTTGTATAAATATATACTAGGGTGTGCAGTTCTTTTGGAATCCTGACTTTGCTTGCTTACATTGTCAATGAAAAAGAAGAAAAAGAAAAGAAAGTCGATAAAAAAAAATGAGGAATTAAAGAGAGATGCCAAAAAACTTGGGTGAGTATTGAGTTAGAGCTTTCATAGATTCCGACGGTTGGACCGATTTTTGGTAAAATAGGTACCTTTACCATGTTCACGTTCTTTTCTTTGTCTAATACGTGTCTTATAAAAACCCATTGCTTTAATCCTATGTTGATTTTCTTTCTTTGTTTTTTTTTTTTTTTTTTTTTTTTTTTTTTTAAATGTCCTTTTTTTATATATATAGTCCGCAAAAAAAAAAAAAAAAAAAAAAAAAATCAGATTAATTACGGGATTTTCAGAAATTTTCATTTCTTTTAAGTAACTCCAAATTAATCATTTGTTTTGACATATAGGACGAATAAAGTGAATATTATAAATATTGTTTTCTGCCATTAATTTGTGTTTGATTTCTTTGAAAAAGTTGATTCCAAAAGTATGGTTAAGGCAGCTGGTTCAAAAAACAAGTCCCCATATTATATGTAACTTTTTTCCTTTTTCTTTTCATTGTTTGGTATAAAAAATTACTACGAAAATTCTAAGACTAGAATCTAGTATATACAGAAGTTTCATGAACTTATTTTGATTTCCAGTCTAGTGGTTTCCATGGATGTGATAAGGTATAGCCAATATATACAAGTTCCAACCTAATTCAAAAAAAGTGTACCGACCAACTCTCTAATTGAAGTCAAATCTAAAATCCCCTTCTAAGTAAACAAAGATATCTTTGTTTTGGCTTCACGAACTAGTTCCCAACGCTTATACGACATGCAAAAGAAGGAAAAATTAGAAAATTTTAAAAGTACAGATTTTTTTTTTTTTAATAATTGAAAAGTATTGTTTCATTATCCATACAAGAAGGAATGCGAAACTAATTAAAGATGGAGAGAAATATTAATTGTTAGGTGAATTAGGTTATTTAGTGTTAATCTAACTACAACAAGGGAATGAGAAACTAGTGTTTGTATGTTAGGTCGTATTAGGTTGGGAAGGTTGAGTGTGTTGTATTAGTATGGCTGGGTGAGTGTGTGTACGTTATATATATATTGGTTATGTATCCCGTAGCCTTGTCTTCTTGTATATGGATCAATGCTTGCCTTTTTTTTTATCATATTGTCAGTCTCTTGTTTATCAACATACACATGTAGATTTTGTTTCATTGGAAAAGGTTCAAATGAAAGTGACCACTGAGAACAACATCTCAAGGCCTATACGTTAGATGATAAAAATACCCTTACCCGTTAAGCTTCGCCTCCGTTTGTTTCATAAATTACTATTCAACATTTTTTATTATGGTATTTTCTCTCATAAAATTTAAATTTTTATTTAAATTTATAAACTAAACGGATCAGAATTCCTTAATTTATTTCTCGTATTTATATTTGTGATTTTATCAGTGTCTTGAAAGAAAATAATAATAATAATAATCATCACCATCATTTTTATGAAGATTTGTCGCCATAATTATATTTGTATTATATTCTATTTGTATCAGAATTTTTTTATTAAAATTAATGCAATTTTAATAAGAAGTAACGTTCATAATGAACTGCAAATAGAGAAACGGATACCTAGTGCACAAGTTCTTGATTAAAATTAGCATGGATTGTTTGGTAAATTTACTTTGTGACACTTTGGTGTCTGAAGTGAGGTATAAAAAGATAATAAACGTTTTACAAGGTAAATAACTAAACAGTAAATATATAAGTTATGTTTAAGGTGCAGAAAGATATTATGTGTATAAAACAATATAAATCTTTAAATATATAGATAATAGTAGTATGTTCGCGTAAGTTAGAACGTAATTACAAGGTATTTTTCTGATAGCGATTCATTAATACAAGGAAAGTCACCAGTTATATTTCCACAAGTTAATGATCAGCAGCGGATAAGCTTGGAAAATGGAAATGTAAAGCAGTAAAAAACGAATAGCTCTGTTGTTTTATACTAATATATTCTCTTATGATAATATAAAATTACTTGACGACTAGCATATCATACAACGATACAATAAATATTAATTAACCCAAGTGACTAAGTAGTGACATTTGATAGGCCCATTATTAACAGTTAATTTAGGAGTTCGTCTTGTTGGACCAATATATTTATAAGGGTAATATAAATAAGGGTGAAGAAAGTATTCTTCCATTTCATTGATATATCACCTGCTGGAAAGGCTGCAACATCTTGATCAAACTTTGCCTTTTTTTTTATTTTCTTACCACAAATATGCAAAGACTAATACAAGTCAAGTCGTCCAATTATCACAATATATACATATATATATATGTATATATATATATATATATATATAAGTCAAGTCCATTTTATCCACCGCGAGGCCAACTTGGGTGTGATCGATTTGCCCCTATCACCCCCACAAATGATGGAACTCTCTTTGATAACTTTCAACAAGAACAAGACAATTTGGAATGGCCAGTTAGTATATACATGACTAGTTCCAAGAACAACAAGACAATTCTGGAAACTAATCTTTTCTTATATATCTTGTCTTCTAGGATAGAACTAATACGACATTTTTGCAAGGCACGTAATGTCAATAATTTAGCTTTGGTCAAAATTTTCATCTTTAAAAGTTAGGCATTTCCATTTCCTTCACAATCGCAAGAATAAAGAATTTTTAAACAAGTCATCTTTACTTCTCTTGTGATTATGACTAGTGTTGATTTTTAGGTTGCTTTTCTTAATTCTCGCAGATAGATGAAGCTGGGTTTAAAAAATTAAACTGGGAAATATACCCAACATTATTTACTAACTGGCATATTGATACTCTTAATATATATATATATATATATATTTGTCTGGGCAGCATTTTGTCTCCCGAATTATATTATTAGACATTAAGCACGCTTAATTATTTTTTATTGGTACTTAATTTAACCGGATTCAAAAGATGATTATGTTAGGACAATTTAATTTTGATTTTCAATTGACAAACCAGTTGCTGGCACTGATCGGAAAGTAGACTAATTGCTCGTCCCTAAGCGTACAATGTCAAGTTTTAATAGTAAAAGCTGATGGGGTATCGTCTCTACGGAGATTAGGTATCAAATTGTCGCTAAGTACCGCGATTATCGTAACTCAATTTTTATCTAGGCAACAAAACTCAATGAAATAAAAATCGAACTAGAACAAATACAAATACAAAAACCAAATAAAGTATGGAAACTTCTATGCACAAATGTATTAAGGACTTGGCTTCACCTTATCGTTCCTATGTTCATCCTATTAAACTATTGCTAGCTAATTCCACTCAATTCATTAATCAATGAACCTAATCTAACATTGTTACCTCTTCTGAGCGTCAAACGAAGTCGTATGCATGAATACTCGAATCAATATTCATAAATAACTCGTTTACTTATACACTCATCAAGTTTAGCCCTTAAATTGAAAATCAAATGCCGACCACCTCCCAGCCTCACAACAATAGAAATCATAGTTGATAATCTAAGATTTGATCACCTCTCGGTCTCACAATATCCTAAACTCTCAACGAGATTATCTAAGTGTCGATCTCCTCCTGGACTCATATCTCACAACAACTTAGACTATGTTTTCCAATTCCGGACTATGAAATCAATCCCTCTCAAGCATCAAAATCGCAATCTAAAATTATCTAACTTATTGGCTACATAAATTAGAAACATTAAGCATAGAGAAACATAAATAAATTAAGATGGAATTTAACTAACAATTGACAAGCTAATCAAAATATGGTTCAAATAAAGCTACATCAAGCCCTAAAATAATCTTCTAGCTCAACATAGAGGAATCCATAGCCAGAATTACAAATTCAAGAAAAAAAACCACTTAATCAAAATATGGTTCAAATAAAGCTACATCAAGCCCTAAAATAATCTTCTAGCTTAACATAGAGGAATCCATAGCCAGAATTACAAATTCAAGAAAAAAAACCACAAAGATAAGTAAAAAGCAAGAAGGAAGAGAAAACTCTTATGGAGATAAGCTTCAAGCCTTCAACTCTTTAAGAATCTCTCCCAAGCATTTTTTAAGAATCTTTAACTCTAAGCTCCTCTCTAGGAATTTTTGTGCTTCTCATCCTCTTCAAGTTAAGAACTAGGGTTTCTTTTGTTTGAGTATGCTCAAACATAAAGAAAATCTCAGCCACGCTCATCCAAGAGTCAAAAATGGCCTCCCAACATTGATCAAATGCCAAAAAGGCCCAAAATACTCGTTTCAACACAGGGAGAGACGAGGCCGCGCAGTAGGTAGCTCACTCGCCCGCCTAGCCGCGCATTGGGCGCAAGTGATAACTCTAAGAAATTAGAGTTATCTAATGGTTTTCTAGCTCAAAAGTTGATTGACCAAGAGTGATTTTACTAGTTTCTTTTGTGTTTTAACTTAGATTTTTATAATTTACACTTGTTATGGCTGAATTCTGTACTTGTACTCTTCTTGTAGTAAAATTTGATGATTTTGAATTAAAAAGAGGAAGAAAGTCCACTCAGCCCTGTGTGTGCGCGTTGCAAGAAATTCTTGGACTAAATGCTGCAGCATTCGTGCAGCATTCTAGGAACAACTGTGGCATGTGGATGACGTCAGCGCACTACTTAGAGAAAACAGACAAAAGGAATCCATGTGAGCTGGATGAGCAGGTGTCATTGTGGTCCCCTGCACACATCATTAAGTGACACCTCAGCCCTATTGTTGCCCTAGAGAGGAAATGCTTTCTGAAAACAAAAGGCAGCCGCCAGGAAAGAAAGGAAAAAAAGAAGAAAACAGAGACGTGAGGGAGGAAAAAGAAAGAAGGTATTCTGGGGCTAGACACAGAGAAGAGAATACACAGAGAGCACTCCCTCTGGAGAAAACAGACAGTGCATTACCCAGAGAGGAAAAAGCTTAGTACGAGAGCTGAGGAAGATAGCAAATACAAAGAGTACCCAACCCCAGAAACAGATTCAGAAACGTGAGAAGAAGGCAGGAGGTTGAAGGACGTTTTGGCCGGACAAAGAGGAATCCAAAATCCAGCTGAAATTCGTTATTCTTCTGTTAGCTTAACTCTCTTTTGTTATTTAGCTACTAATTTAGTTATGGATTATGCTGGAGCTTTGAATCTTGTAAATCTCGTTATGAACTAATTTGTTTTAGCTAGGTTTGCTAATGGAACCAAAATTGTAAGAATGACAATTTGTTTCTGATATGCTATTAAATTACTATTCTTGTTCATTCATGTGAGCTAATGCCTATTTCTATTCTTGACTGGCCATCGATTTTAGGATACAAGATTAAGATTAATACTGCAAGGGTTAGTTTAAATCGGATTTAGCATGAATGATGCTTGTTCAATAACCTTGCTTAGTTGTTGATTAGTGGATGGTATAGGAATATATTATTCACCTTGCATAACTTAAAGAAACCTGAGCTTAAATCTGCATTCCGAGAGCTGGATTCACATAGGAATATGCTGGAAATGGTTTGAGGAACCTTAGTCATAATTAATTCGGAAGAACTTTATGCAATAAAGGAGTTTCTGTTAACAGGGGTAGTAAATGCTGTAACATTTTCAGTAACATTTTAGTCAAACTTGCAATTGAGGGGAAGTTAGTAGACCTAGCTCATTTTCACCATTGAATTACAGCCCATCATTACGTTCTTGTTACTGCTAGCCACTTAGATCGCATTTAGTTTGCATTCATTTTATTTACATCATTTTAGTGAATTTGTGCCACATTCATTCATTACTTGTTTTGTTGATTATATAACTTCCAACACGTATTTTCGGTGATTCAATCCTCGTGAGATCAACACTCTTATTCACTCTTTATTATTTGTCTGCGACACGTGCACTTGCGAGCATAAATATCAAGCAACAGCGGGCGCGCACCAGCCCTTGCCCAAGGCTGCTCTTGGGCGTTTTTCACCCCGTTTTGTGCGGCAATTTGTGCAGGTCCTTGGGACGTAATTAATGTCACAATTTAGTTGTCTTATCTTCATGCTTCATTTTTGTTTGGTCAAATCTTTGACGTCTAAAAGTTAAGTAGTTCCATAATTTCTTCACAAAGAATGAAAGAAGTCCTCTTTACTATTGTAATTATTGCAAGTTTTATGCCCATTATACCTGTTTTAACTCTTGGCATAAAGATTTACGTTCGTTTTTTTTTTTTTTGAACTATTTTATTAAGCAAGCACGGACCTTGTATATTGCTCCATTACCAAATTTGATCATAGGATAAATCACAGTTAAACTTTAGACTTATTAAATTTGGTAATGGAGTAAATCAGGTGAATTTTAATCATACGAGTAAATCTTGGTTTTACTGAATACGATCATTGGGTAAATCCGATCAATCATAAATTTAGTTTCTCTTCACTAACTTAGCATAAAACTCTGTAATTTATTTTTATTCCCTGCAAAAACAGGCCACACACTTTACTTCTCCTTTTATAATACGCATTGTAGAAGAGTATGGTTCACAGTTAACTAATTAAGTTTAATATGCCCCAAACAAACAACTGAAGCAATTTCGCAGTTCTTACTTGTTATCATCCAAGAGTTCTTATGCTCCTTGTTGTTGCCGACTTACCAAACACACTCGAAAAATACAATAACTATCACAACACCAATGAGGTAACAAAATTTCCAAGGAAAAAAAAACTAAGAGAACATGCATAAAAAATTTCAAGCATTCGCGCGTGTAATTCTTACATGGGGAAGAAGAATAAATTGGGATATACCTGTTGCAACTGATAAACAAGAAAGCTCAACAACAAAAAATTGCTTGGAGACACAGCAGACTTGTGTCCTACACTGCAAGGAATACTGCTTCCACTGTAGCACCCTTTCTTCTGCTTAATTCCGAGACCATGATTCTCAAGAACAAATGTGGAGTTTGTCCGTCCGCTGCTGAACAGAACACACCAAAAGAAAGGCCCTTTATGGACTCCAACCATGCCCACTCCCACCTCAGAGTGCGACTTATTACTAAGAACAGATAAGGTTCTCTTGTCTGGGACAAGAACATTTGAGAAGGCTAGCGATGGCTCGAGATACTTTGATCGACAACCAACAATGCGACCGGTAATGGTGCCAAAAGTGGGAAGCTCTACGCCACAGTTTGGTGCGAAAATTTCAGTGAAGTCATCCTCTGAAGGTTTGCAATTAACAGTGTTGTCACTAGTGCAGTTACCCTTGCAGAATTCAACAAATTGCAAGGCCATGCACCCGAGTCCAGGACTGTCATTTAGTTTGGTAAGCTTATGGGCCGTTCGATTATTGTTGATCATGTTGACAAGATCGTTTGCAGGGTTTCCTGCGGAACAAACAACATGTAATAACCTAGCATTAGAAGTAACTTATATGAGAAAATGCTTCAACTTGTTGTTAATAACCTAACATTAACACTACATATCCTCTCTCTCTCTCTCTCTCTCTCATTTCTTTCTGAAAAGAAAAGGGAAAACATACAAGTTGTATATTTCCATATGGGGGAGTCAAAATACACAAATATAATTAACACAATGCAATCCCTTATGCACCAATCAAAAGAAAGTTGAATTAGAACACTATTTAGCGAAGATCATCAAGACACAAAGGAATGTTTGGCAGGTTAACTTTTTGGGTCTGCTCAACATATGGAACTTTAAAGATGGACTTAGCTAAAAAGAATGGCAAGTTTCCTCAAATGGAAAACAAATGAAAGAATTAGGCTCAGCTGGGTATTCCGAAAGTTCTTTGCAACATAAACACGACGCAAGTAGCGTGTTTGTGCAGACACTTGCACTTTTATAGTAATTGGAAAACTAGAATGTTTAACTTCACTTTTGATTATAAGTAAAAGTTAAACATCTTCCAAAAGCACAACAATCCCAAACTACATCTTAGATGCTAAAATGAATGTACAAAGAAGATTAAGTTTTCGATGCTACCCAATGAAGTTACTATACAAGCATCGAGTTTGAAAAGTGATTCCAACAAATAAATCTTAAGACAATACACTACTTGAACTGAACAGAGGCTATCAAATGAAGTAGCATGTGTGCGCGTGACGTATGCATCAAAGAAAGGCAACTAAAATGAGGTTCTAAAACTAGTGTCCATTCTATAGAAAGGCTCAAACTATAATATCTATTAATTTATAACTAATTTTAAAGGTAAAAAGTTGTAGCTTCTAGCGGTGCAAATCTTGTATCTTTCCCTCTGCAGCTTGATTTATTCACCAACTCGTTAGAAAGAGAAACAAACTGGAAATGGGCTCTTCAAAACACAACGAAATACCAGTAGAACCAAAAAAAAAAAAAAAAGAAAAAAAAAAAACCCACACACACACACAAATTGAGTATAGAGTCGAGACACACAAAAAAATGAAAATAAAAATAAATGAGAGAGTACCATGGTCCTTAGAGCAAACAAGAGCTGCAAGCAATAGTTGACAAAATAATAGACAACAACAGCAACAAAGCTGCTTCCACATAGTCGCCAAACTCGCAACCAAAATCAAAACGTGAGCAATAAAAGGAAAAGGAAAACCCAACCCAGATTTAAGAAAATGGGGTCTTGGTTCTGTGTAAACAGAAGTAATGAGGGAGGTGAGAGGTGAGAATGGAGAACTAGAAAAGGAAAGAAAGAAAAATAAAAGGAAATTTTCCAGGGAAAGTGTAGGGAGGAAAAGTGCTTTACTAGTGATGAAGTGTTGCAGAGTTTAAGGACAACAAAATGTGTGGTGGTGGTCCCCAGTCGCCGCTAATATGTGTTGTCTTTGGACTTTGGGTTTCCTTTCCATTAAAAAAAAAAAAAAGAGAGCAAATTTCAAAGAAGACAAGAATTTGAAGCCCTTTTTTGACAGCAAGGTCGTACAACAATTTTAACCTCACAATCACTACAAATACACATACATAGCAAAGTAAAATTAAGCATAATGGAAAGTGGGGGCGTAAGAATTGAGCCCAAATTCGCAAAATTCGGCTGACCTGATCCAAGATTTTGTTTTGTTTTTTGTTTTTTAAAACTCGGATTCAAATAAGCCCAACCCGCAATGTGCGGGTTGGGCCGCGGGCCAGGCAACAACTCACCCGAGTTGCCCCGACCCGCCCGAGTTTTCTGGGTTTGTAATGTGCGAAATCAGCTTTGCAACCCAGCAGCCCTAAGTCTAACCAATCGCTAATCCTTCCTCGCAGCCTCCCTCGCCTCTAGCCTCCCAAATCCTTCCTCCGCATCTCGCTTCCGTGGCTCAGCCTCCATCTCGCCTCCGTGGCTCCGCCTCCATCTCGCCTCCGTGGCTCCGCATCTCGCCTCTTTCCATTTTGTTTATGTTTTCACCGTAAGTGTTCTTTATTTGATTCTATTAATGTTTGTTCTCTTCGTCTTCGTTCTTCTTCGTCTGTCTGTCCGTGGGTTTGGATCGCCTCAAGCTAAGACTTAACTCAACCAATCTCATTCATTGTATCTCTCTCCTTTATTTTCTTTTACCTTTAGATAATACACAAACTTTTAATAATTGATTCAGGTGAGTGCAAGATTTCGATTTCGATTTGCTTCATATCCATTTTCAATTTTCCCCTCCTCCTTTTTTTCTTTTTCCTCCTTCAAAATCCTTTCTTTCTCCAACGACCCATTTCGCCAACCTGGGCGAATTTAACTTTTTTTTTTTTTACCAAGTGTAGATGGCCTGATCTATTATATATATTATGTTGAAGTTGAACATGATTATATGTTGATTTAGACCAAAAAAAAAAAAAAAGACACCATCACAAAAAAAAAGACATATTATATAAAATGGACATTTTATATTTATTGAATCCGCATGCTGTCCACGAATGCATACATTCACATAACTAATAGAACTCCACTATTATTAGTCATGGATCATACCGTATTTAGAGATGAGAAGCATCAGAGTTTTTCTATTATTAGTCAGTAAGTGTTCTTTTCTTTTTTTTTTGTTGTTGTTGTTGTGGTGGTGGTGGAGCCGTGGAGGTGGGTAATTCTGGATCTTGTTCTTAACATTTTGGTCAACTGTATTGCGAGTTTTTCTTTTGTTCATGGTTGCTGCCTTTGTGGGATTTCATTGGTTGCTGCCTAGTGCCTAGATTCATGGTTGCTGCCTTTGTGGGATTTCCTTGGCTATCATAGTAACGACTAAACATTGGCTATCATATTGATTATATTGATTACAAATATAAAAATCAGGTTTCTGTTTTTGTTTCCAGGCCAGCCGAGGAAGAAGAGTGAAGAGAAACTGAAATCTTCATTGAAGGCAAGGCTGAAACATAAATGTTAATTTTTTGTTTTTTTGGGAAATATTATGTTTTTTATGAGAACTGAGATGAACTGATTTTAAGTTAATCTCTACGCTTAGCTCAATCATATGTTATATGTTTTAGGTTAATTTGCGTGCTAGATGGAAAAATTTATCATTCACCCGACAAAAACTTCTGAAAGCACTTGCAAGTCCTCTGCTGAAACAAAAAGTGTCTCTATGCCTAAAGAGCCCATTACCTTACCCACTCTCACACCCAGCCCTACCCCTATACCTAATTTGGGCACTAAAATTAAAAACGAAAAAGAGGAGGGCGACAGTAAAAAGAGGAAGAAGTCACAAAAAAAGTCTCTTGTTTGGGATCATTTCAAAATCATAGGAGTTCATTGAGCCCCAAGATGGTGGATGCATTGATTTGTACACAAAATTGGCTACGTAGTCGTGAGCGCATCAACCTTATTGACATGGAAGAATTTAATGAATATGAAGATATTGAGTCAGGTAATCTTTTACGTTTTTTTTTTTTTTTAATTTTATTTCATCTCCTTGTTGTTTATTTTGTTGTTCTAAACTTGATTCTGATGATTTTTTTTGTTATGTTTTCTTCTCAAGATTTGTCAAATTCTGTTGCAACACATGAGGGGCAAGCTGGGAATGAAGATGCTATTATTCTGGATTAAACAGTTTGGAGTGGACTAACTTTTATTTCATATCCTATTTTGCAACTATTTTTATATGGACTGTTTATCTTTATATAGATTGTTTATTATGGATTAAATTGTTTATTTTATATGGGCTATTTTGCATAATTATTTACTACAATAGTATTTGCATATATTATTTATTGCTCATTTACTACAATAGTATTTTATCATTTATTTGCATATAAGAGCCTCTTAGATTAAAATTGATGAAGTCATAGATTAAAATTGGTTTTCACAAATCCGAGTAACTCGACCTTACCCGAGGTCACCCAAAAGGTTGCGAGTTTGTAGATTTAAGAGAGTGTCGTGGCCTAAAATTTTCTCAACCTGTACTGGTCGGGTAGGCTCAATTTTTCGGCTCAACCCTCCCCTCCCCAGCCGATTTACACCCCTAATGGAAAGATATATATATTTTTTATAATTATAACGGAAAGATATTATTATCTAATCTAATATGTTTTTTTCACAATATTTAGTACTTAAGTTGTAAAATAAATTTATGTAAAAAAATATACTTAATAAAAAAGTAGAATTTAAATTTTTATAAGAAAAATAATATAATAAATAAGTTTGAGTTTTGATTTAAGATGTAAAAAAAAAACACGATAAATTTCAAAAGTTTATTGTCGCATCTACATTAAATTTTTATATATAAGTTTCAAAAGTTAACTATAATATTTACAGTAAACTTCAACCAAAACGAGCGTTTTGGTTGAAATGCTCCTTTGGGTCCCTCCTTTTTTTTTTTCCTTTTTTCTTTTTGTCTTTTTCTTTAAAATGTTACAGTAAAATTTTAAGTTATCACGCAATGAATATGTGGTTATCTTTATTAAATTTTAGTAATTGTTTGTTAATTTTACTGTGAGGAATTAAAACAGTGAAAGTGATTAAATTTTAATAGGTCAAAATTAAAAGTTTACCGACCAAGTATCACTGTAATCAAAAGTTGAAGAACTAAGGGTGTGTTTGGTTAGGTGGAAAAGAATGAAATGAAATTCTAGTTTGATGTTTGATTGAATTTATAAAAAATGAATGATCATTCAAAAGGAATGGCCATTCACCTATTTTGAGTGAATCATCATTCATTCCTCATATAAGAGGAATGGCCATTCTAAGTTATTATTTTTTTATTTTTTCCATTACCTTTCAATATTAAAATATAATTAAAATATACTATATAGTAATTATATCTTATAATATAATATATAATAATAAATATTATAATATAATTATAATATTATAATATATAACATGTAATATAATATAATAAAAGTAGTATTATATAATATATTATATAATACTACTTTTATTATATTATATTACATGTTATATATTATAATATTATAATATATAACATGTAATATAATATAATAAAAGTAGTATTATATAATATATTATATAATACTACTTTTATTATATTATATTACATGTTATATATTATAATATTATAATATATAACATGTAATATAATATAATAAAAGTAGTATTATATAATATATTATATAATACTACTTTTATTATATTATATTACATGTTATATATTATAATATTATAATATATAACATGTAATATAATATAATAAAAGTAGTATTATATAATATATTATATAATACTACTTTTATTATATTATATTACATGTTATATATTATAATATTATAATATATAACATGTAATATAATATAATAAAAGTAGTATTATATAATATATTATATAATAATAATTTTATCATATTATATTACATTTTATATATTATATTGATAGATAAAATATTAATGTTATATATAGCATAAGAGTAAATTTATCAATATAAAAATATTCATATTCTATTTCAGAAAATTAAAATTAAAATTAAATAAATGAATTAACTTTTTTTTATTATATTCTCGTTACTATTTCATTCCTATTTTTTTTTATCATTTATCCACCGTAACTAAACGCACGCTAATAGCACAACAGAATTACCTTATTTTGTTTATTGGCGGGCCGTCCATGAACAATTATCACTTGCCAGTTGCCCCCAACCCTAACAACAGGGCTCGAGAAAGAGGCCTGGCCTGCCAAGACAAACAACGCGACGAAATCATCGGAACTCTCTAGAATTCTCGGACAGCAATGCATACACCGTCGCACGTGCGTCCTTATCCCACACGTGCCTATAAGGTCTCCAAAACCCTTTTCCCGTCACCTCTTTGGGACTTCAAAATTGCTGCTATTCCTTTTTATTTGCTTGCTTCTTTTTTTTTTATCAGCTTCAGTTTTCTTCTTCTCAATCAATCTCGTCTCGTTCTCTGCTTTCGTATTATTGTTCATCCATGGCTTCCACTTTCGTCACTACTCTGCCAAAACCCTTTCTCACCAAACCCAACTCTCATTCTTTCTCTAATCGCAGACTTATCCCAGGTATTTACCTACATTCCCAAATATGTATTCTTCATTTTCTTTTCCTTTTTCTTTTTCTTCTTATCTATTTATTTATTTATTTTGTTCAATAGGCATGCAACAAAACTCTCTGAGAGTTTGTGCTATTTCGAAGAAATGGGAACCCACCAAGGTGCTTTATTATTATTATTTTTTTCCAGTTTTCTCGTATTATCTGGGTTCTTCTGTTGAAGCTTTTTTTTTTTTTTTTTTTTTTTTTAATGTGGGTCCCAGGTTGTTCCGCAAGCTGATAGAGTCCTTGTTCGTCTTGAGCAGCTCCCTGAGGTAATACTTATTCTCAACTTATCACATTGATATTCATTTCAGTTATCACATTGATATTCATTTCTCTTTCTATAATTATTATTAATTTATCATTATTATTAATGTAGTTTTTAATTTTTGTGGTGTTGAATGTGGATTGTACATTATCAATTAAGGTTCATTTTTATTTAGTTTCAGTTTTTGAGCATAGGAATGCAAGACTTAGAACGTGTTTTGTAAGCGGGAAAAAGTGAAAGGATTTCGGGATTCCGGGTTGTTTGGTAGGAGAGAAAAGAGGAATAATGAATAGAGTGAGTCATTTCAAATCCTTTCAAAGAAGTCCAATTTAATCTCTTTCAATATGCCTGAACCAGAGTAGGGAATCCATACCGACCACAATAAAAGAAAAACCCTCCCTTTTTACTCAGTTTTTGTCTCCTAAGTTATGCACCTTCTTTCCTTTATATTTTCTTTCCCTCATACCGAACATAACCTCGAATACTTTTTCAAGTAATGTGCGCATCTTAAGGAACTCGTTCGCGTAATCAACTTAGCTTCCTCATTCGTTGTTTTTCTCTTTCAATTCCAATTCTTTTTGGCATTTCTTATCATTTTGATAAATTCAAGCAAATTTGATTCTATTTAAAAGCCTGAAAATAGGTATTGGGTTCCAAAAAGCCACCCGAAGTAGAAAATTCTATTTATGAATCCTCATATCATGTCGGTTTAGCTTATGTTTGTGCTAATCTAATTATACTTTACTATAATATTTTTCTGGTTTTGGTTGAGTTTCTAGATCTCTGATTCTTTCTGAATCAGAGCCCGCAACCGTGTTTTCTTGTTTTCTTATTAACCCTATGGAGTTTTAAAATTTTCAAATAACTCCTTGTGTGTTTCTAATGTGGTTCAATTTGTGTAATGCCTTTCTTCACAGAAATCGGCAGGTGGAGTTTTATTGCCAAAATCAGCTGTCAAATTCGAGCGGTATCTTACGGGGGAAGTAAGCAAATTGCCACCCTTTCATGCTAATTTTTGAGTACCTCTGATTTCCCTTTTCGTTTCCTTAAACAAAATCTTTTTGTTTGTTTATCATATGGTATAATCTATTCTGGTATGTAAAGCAAACACTAGCTATGTAATAACCAGCATTTTTAAGCTCTAAACTTAGCCTATATGAGCTTAATGAAGTTGGATTAGAATTTATAAGTTTAAGATTTTGGAATTGGTGTGATAAACTTATGCTGCGTTTCGAGTAAGGATTTGTGTCATGGTTTAGATCATGGTTCGTGGCTCGCTACAGTGTTTTCTCTCACAAAAGATGGTTCTGAATTATGGTTCTGAACCCATGACGAAACTTCCACTTAGCTTTTTGCATATATAGTAACATCTCTCTGAAAGGGATCGGAGACCTTAGAATAGTTTTGACAAGAAGTGTTGTGTTTGGCTCAGATTCTCTCTGTTGGTGCCGATGTTGGGGGAGTGAAGGCTGGGACAAAGGTAAGAGGACTCGATGCATACAAAATGAAGAAAATTGTTTGATTTAAAGGGTAATTGGCTAATTTTTTGTTTTCCCCCGTTTGCAGGTTCTTTTCTCAGACATAAATGCTTATGAGGTAAATATCAATAAATAGTGAACATTCCCCATAGAACTTGATAAATTAGGAAATGTTCAATGTTGGTACTTAGTCATGATAAAATGAGGAGCAAGAATGTTCGGTTGCGTTCTGTTCTCCATGAGCTGTTTTTCAACTATGTGATGTGCATCATATCTTTAAGCTGTTTGATGTTGTCACAGGAAAGATTAAGATTTGCTTGTTTATCTGAATAGATGATGTATTAATTAATAATAAAACTTGGTTGTGTATCAGGTGGATTTGGGAACGGACACAAAGCACTGCTTTTGTAAAGAAAGTGATTTGCTGGCTGTAGTTGAATAGAGGTCAATATCAGATTGTCATGTTATTATTATTTTTCTTTCTTTTTCACTAGCCAGGTTTGGAGACAGAAAGAGTTGGTCAAATGAATCCAATGCGCAAGTTGCCTAGATGATGTTGTAGTATTTACAATAATTATACAGTAATCATATTTGCTGTCCTAGGAGGCTGGACTGACTAATTTTGGAGAAACATCATATGCTACTGAGTTGCCAAACCGGGGGTTTCAACTATTTTTTTCACTTCACTAAAGTTTTTTTTGTAGCTAAATGGGTATAATTACTGTGTTTTTAACATAAGAAATTGTGAAACAAAATTTAGAGCCACAGGACAAGAAATCCAAACTATAATTTTAACCATTTTTTTTTATTCACTTCACAAACATTTCTTTTAGAAAGTTAATATATATTTTTTTTCAACAAAAGGTTACAAAGGCAAGGGAGTGTCGAGTTTGTGAATATTTCGGTCCATGGGTCAGGTTTTAATCTCTTTCTTTCTTTTTTATTTTTTTATTTTTTTAGGAGATAATTCTGTAATCTTGATTAGTACCTTTTTATTAATATAATTTTTTAATTAAAAAATATTAATTAAGTGTAAGGGGTAAAGTTTTAAGTCCTGATATTTGTCTTTTAAAAAAAAAACTTTCATTAGTGTTTCACATACCTAAATGAGTTAAAATTGTAAACGCTTGCGAAAATTTCAAGAATTATGCCACTGCCAAAGGGCTACCAAACCCGACGTTTGGACTACTCTTCCTTTTTTTTTAAAGAGTGAAACCGTTGTTTAAGTTAGGGCGGTTTGAACTCATTCTTTATACACACCCTCAAAACTTTTCGTGCATAATTAGTAATAATTTTGGAAAAAGAAAATTAGTGAACTTACATTTTAAATGTATTATTTTAATATTTTTACTCTTTATTTTTTTATTAATAGCTCTTTGATTAATATAGTTCTTTGAATAAAAGACATTAAGGGTCCGTTCACTTCGTTGATTCGAGTTTATAATTCGAGTTGAGATGTGATTTTATGTGAGAGCTTTTTACTGTAGCAAAACTCGAATTCTAAACTCGAATTGGTGAAGTGAACGGGGCCTAAACAAGTGTAAAGGATAAAAAATCAAGATCCATGTATGCATTTTAAGGGGTATTAGTCTCTTTTTTCTTTTCAGAATTCACTCAACACAAAGATCTAAAAATAAGAAGACTATTAAAGTGATAAGATTAGAATCAAATTGCTAATTGGATGGCAATTGAAAGCTTATTTAATTCACTCAATTAAAAATATCTACATATTAGAAGATTCTAAAGTGAAAAAATTAGAGTAAAATGGTATTTGGATAGCATTTTAATGCCTCTCAACTGTCTTAACTAAAATATATAGATATTAGGATACTGTTAAACTGAAAATTTGCAGTAAAAATGGTATTTCTATAGCATTTTAATGCCTCTACTGCTCTCTTTCGACAAATATCTAGATATTCAAAGACAATTTAAATGAAAAAATTGGAGTTAAAATGTTATTTCAATGCCTCTGAAACTCCCTCGACACAAAAATTAAGAAATTTAAAAAATTACAAAATTGAGAAAATTAGAGTCTGGATGGTACTTGAATATAATTTTAATGCCTCATGTGCTCACTTAACTAAAAGATCTATATATTAAAAGATTACTAAAGTGAGAAATTTGATCAAAATGGTACTTTGGATCGCATTTTAATGCCGCCAACACTCCTTTAACTAAAGACCTAGATATTAGAAGATTATTGATGTGAAAATTTGAAATCAAAAGGGTATTTTGTAGCATTTTAATATATTCATTTCTCGCTAAGCACATATATTTAGACAATAGAAGATTATTAAAGTGAAAAATTAGAGTCAAAATGATTCTTAGATAACATTTAATATGATATTTACCGATCACTTGCGTCGGCACATGTACGTTGGTGTTAGTGTAAATATCATATTAATAAGTAAATAATATATTTATTAGTCATTAGTTACTGATGTTGGTGTCAGTTATAGTAGACATGACCAGAGGGGGAAGGAGAGAGAAGTAAGAAGGTAAAGGGTTGAAGAGTATTATTATTTTTTTAATAGCATTGGAAAAACCTAATTTTCCAAAAAAAATGAATCAAGGACTTTTTCTTAATCAACATAGGGGCTTTTTAGTGAAATAACATATTTACTAGGGTGATGGGTAAAAATAACATATTTAATAGGATGATTGAAATAACTTAAGGGCGATTCGTTTATTTTTCATCTTCCAAGCCAAGAGCGTGAAGCGTCCACAGTCAGTCGGTCGCTGACAGATAGCATTGCGAGTACACGTACTCAAACGACCTCGTTTCCTTTTCCTTATTTTCATTGTTTTATTTATTTCTTGTATTTTCCGAAGACTAGACTCTTGAGAGGTTCCAAATCAACTGCCGAATTTCCCTACTTTTTATAGGGTTTCTCTTCTTCCCACTTTAGGGTTTCATACGATTCGCGTTGAACAAATCCATCTCACCCCAAATCGCTAAATTAGGGTTTCTGTTTCTGTTTTCGATTTTGAATCTTTTGAAATTTTGATACTCTTTTTACTGAAACAATGCCGCCGCGAACGGTGAAGAGAGGGGCTGGGCCGAGGAGGACCGGTAGGGTCACGAGAGGTTCCCAAAAGGCGCAGAACCATCAGCCACCGGACGTTCCAGAAGATCCGGTGACCGTCGAGGAGGTTCCGATTCGGGCGACGGAGGCTAAAGAGGATGTCAAGGTTGAAGCCGAGCCAACCATGGAGGAAAAGCCACCAGCCATTGAGGAGAAACCCGTTGTTGTCAATCAGCTGATTTCGGATCTCAACGTGGAAGCGAAAGCTGAGCCGAACGGTTTAGAAAGTAAGTTTTTGTGTTTTGATTATGAAATTTTGATAATCCGATATATTTTAGTATGGAAATTTGTTTTTTTTTTTTTTTTCACCTTTTGCTCGATTATTGGAATTCTTTTTTGGCTTGTTGCCTTCTCTTGTTATGCCTTTTTTGGTTGTTCATCACTTTGTTTCTGCACTTCTGGGAATCATGCGGGAAAAAAATATTACCTTTGTGATTTTTTACATTCTTTTTTAATCAGAGCCTTTAAATTTTATTGCATGCAAGTAATCCAGATGGGCATACTGTACTATGCTGTATTATAGTGGGTTTAATTTGTGTGAAAGTCCGGGATATTTCAGTACTGCAATTGTAATTGTGTGCTGAGGAACTTTTGGGGGCTCAATCAAATATGATGTTTTTTAGATTTCTTTACGGGGGTTCCTGTTCCTCCATGTGGTGTTAGGAATTTCCTTTGGAAATTATCGGCCTTGAGCAGATTTGTGTGATATTCATTCTGTTTTTGGGTGCCTTGTTGCTTGTGTTGATGCAGAACCTTAGGCTGATGAGCTAAGCATTAAGAATTTGAATGTTACCTTGTTAATTCTGACTTGGTGGATCACTTGGAAAGTGATTATGAATTTGTATTTGGATTCGTAGGATAAGTGGTAATTGACCCGGAGCCCAGAGGTTTAATGTTGGTTTTACTTGCGTCTGATACCATGGTTATGACATGATATGATGTCGTTTGATTGATAATACTAGACCTAGTAATTCTGTTAATCCCTTCTCACATTAAGAAGGATGAAGATCGTCTCTTGTTCACTTAAATCATAAGTGCTTCCTCCCATATGATAAAGGAATATTAGTCTCATTTACCTGGCTTGCTTGTCAACCCCTGTTTTGTGGCAGAAGAAGATAAAATGAAGGAATCTGTTGATGAATATGAGAAAGATGAAAGGTTAGACCTGGAGGATAATGAACCCGAGTATGAAAATGAAGAATATGTTGGTGTTGATTATGATGAGAAGGAAATTGATCAAGAGGATGTCCAGGAGGTGGGAGATGAAGGGGAAGAAGATCCTGAAGAGAATTTAGGTGAAGAAGATGAGGGTGATGAGGAGGAACTTGAGGAACTTGAGGGAGAAGAATACGAGGAGCATGCAGGTGAAGATCATGAGCATGTGGAACACGCTGATGCTGATGAAGACGAGCACCATGAAGTTGTAAAGGAGAGGCGTAAGCGTAAGGAGTTTGAAGTTTTTGTGGGTGGCCTTGATAAGGATGCAACTGAGGGTGATCTTAGAAAAGTTTTCAGTGCAGTTGGTGAAGTAACTGAAGTCAGGCTAATGATGAACCCTCAGACCAAGAAGAACAAGGGTTTTGCATTCTTGCGTTTTTCAACAGTGGAACAAGCAAAGCGAGCTGTGACAGAGCTTAAAAATCCAGTGGTAACTATTGATCTTATAGTTTGAAAATGGACTGACATTTCTTACCATATAAATTACGATTTAAATGAATGGAATTTCAGATAAAGGGGAAACAATGTGGTGTAACTCCCAGTCAAGACAGCGACACTCTGTTCTTGGGTAACATTTGCAAGACATGGTCCAAGGAAGCTGTAAGTATATTGGTTTGCTCAATGTTACCATCTAGTAGTATTTACCAGAAAAGTCTACATTTCGTGGATATATCAGAAGTTGTTAATCTTCTGAATGTTTTACTACAACTGTTGTTTCAGTTGAAAGAGAAATTGAAACATTATGGAGTTAATAATGTTGAGGATGTGACACTAGTAGAAGATAGCAACAATGATGGAATGAATCGGGGATTTGCCTTTTTGGAATTTTCGTCTCGATCAGAGGCCATGGATGCTTTTAAGCGTCTTCAGAAGAGGGATGTTGTGTTTGGTGTTGATAGGCCTGCCAAAGTTTCATTTGCAGATTCCTTCATTGACCCGGGTGATGAAATTATGGCTCAGGTATTTATTTTGGATCTAATTTTTCTGCATTTTATTCAGAATTTGAACTGTTTTAACTATTTTTTATATACACACATGTTATCTCGTCTGGCGCTATTTATAGTTTTTATTCACTAGACTAAAAATTTGAAATTGTGTACTTTGTTCGTATTATGGGTGTTGTCTTATATTTGAAAGTTTTTAATTCTTCTCTCTCTCTCTCTCTCTCTTCATGTTGACTTACACAGCCTTTATTACGGTGTAAATTCTATTAAAGAAGAGATGTTCCTTTTCCATGTCTTTGTATTTTCTAATATTTTTTGTGTTGCAAGATTCTTGTATTTTTCTTTTCAAGTATTTTTCCTTGTGGAGTGGAAGAAGAGAGGGGGAGGGGTTGGTGAGACAACAATTTTTGTTTATATGATGGTATTTACCAGAATCTCTAACTTCATTATTAATTTGCAGGTTAAAACTGTTTTTGTGGATGGCTTGCCTGCAACATGGGATGAGGATCGTGTTCGATGGCTTCTTAAGAAGTATGGGGAGATTGTAAAGATAGAGCTTGCTCGAAATATGCCATCTGCCAAGAGGAAAGATTTTGGTTTTGTTACTTTTGACACCCATGATGCTGCAGTGACGTGTGCAAAGAGTATTAACAATGTGGAATTAGGTGAAGGAGGCAACAAGGTCTGCGTTCATAGCTGTTTATAGTATTTTGATATTTGTTTAATCAAGCATATCTAAATAATTTTGCATATTGCATACGAATTTATTGAAATAGTTATGTTGATATTTCAGGCTAAAGTTAGGGCTAGGTTGTCCAGACCACTTCAGAAAGGGAAAGGAAGGCATGTTGCTCGTGGGGATTTTCGGTCTTCACGTGGTTCTGGGCGAGTTGTCAAGGGTTCTTGGAGTCATCCCTCACCGCGTAGTCTTCCCATGCGTGGTTTAAGAGGTGCGGGAAGTCGTATTCCTCCACCGAGCGTGAAGAGGCCTGCAGGATTTAGAGATCGTCGACCTGTGATGTCTGTGCCAGTAAGAGCCAGGCCTTTGGCCCCTCCAGCTAGGTCTTATGACAGAAGAGCGCCTGGTATGATTTTTATACCAGTCTTTATTTTGCTGCTTGTTGCGTGTGTAGCACTATGCTTACATTGGTTTCACGTATTTAGCAGTTTCATCATACCCAAAGAGTAGCTTGAAGAGGGAATATAGTCGCCGTGATGAGATTCTTCCTCCAAGAAGCAGAGCTGTTGCAGATTATGGTTCAAGGGTTGTCCATGAGAGACGCCCATCATATAGAGATGACTACTCTTCCCGTGCTTCTGGCTACTCTGATCCACCTAGAAGCACTTCGCGTACCTCAGCTAGGAGAGCTTATGTCGATGATGGTTATGGCCCAAGATTTGAAAGACCACCACCACCTCCTCCTCCTCCTAGTTATCGTGAAGGACGTGCACGTGATTATGACTCAGTTTCTGGTTCAAAACGTCCATACTCTTCAATGGTTAGTTTCTCTATTTACTGCACCTTTGAAATTCTATCTTCTAACATCTATTGCCCCATAAGTGCACTCATACTTTTGCAATTCTAGGATGATGTTCCTCCACGTTATGCTGATGCCAGTGTTCGCCAATCAAGGGCACGCCTGGACTATGAGTATGGAAGTGGTGGCTCTCACTACGGGGATGCTTATGGTGACAGACTTGGGCGATCTAATTTAGGATATGGCAGCAGCAGAACAAGTCAAGATTCACATGGGCTGTATAGCAGTCGTCAGGGAATGGGATATGGAGAGGGTAAGTTATGTGCTTAGGAATCATGTCTGTGTCTGCCACTATGTGATTTTTTTCCCCTTTTTTGCTAAGGGTCTATTTTGAAAATCAAAATTTGAATGGTTCTCAGGTTCTTATGGTGGAGGTGACGCAGGGGGTATGTACTCATCAAGCTATGGTGGTGAATACATTTCTCGCGGTCCTGATGTATGTTTGTGATCTTACTTTCTATTGATTCATATTTATCTTCTATTTGCTGCTTTACTTATCATGATTATTGTTGTTATATTGTAGGTCGGTGGTAGCTCCTACTCTTCCATGTACCCTGGACGTGGTATGGGAGGAAGTAGTTATATGGGTAGTGGTGGTTCTGGGTCTTACTACTGAGGTAATGTTAATATTTTCTACTTGATTCCTCCCTCTGTTTGTCCTGTTATTAAGTGTTTCTTTAGTGTGTAATTATTTGTCAAAGTTTTTATTACTATCTACCGGGGATCTCAAGCTACTGAAGGCAGGGCATTTCTCTTTTATCTTAAGTGGTGTGTTTGGTGAACGTGGAGTACTGTGGTTACAAGTGAATTTGTCTATGGAACAGATCTGACATGACAGAGGCTGCTGTAGGATGTGGACAGTTTGATGCTTGTGCATTATACTAATGGAGAGAAGTTTTTCAAGTTTATTAGCCTTGTTATGTCCCAGGACTTCTTGTAGGGCTGTATTGGTTCTAGCAGCTTAGTCTCTCCATATTTGGAAGCGGGCAGTTCTAATTTCAATGCTGTTAGGATGCGTGAATTATTCAAAGATGAAATCAAGAAGAGCTATGTGATATTTATGAATTTCATCTTTTTTTTTCTTATAAGAACCCTGTTCAACGATGTGGAGGTGTGCTGCACCATCTGTTCTTATGACTACATTTGAGATATTGAGGATTTTCTATTTGAGTAAGGTATTTGAGATATTTGTCGAACTGTCTTCTGGAAAGGTTCTGGCATCCTGGTCTTCCCTGTAATAATCTTTTCAGGCTTTAGTGTGGAATAGATGTGAAAGAGACTTAACCAGAAACTGAAGGTTAAGGGAACCTAAAGTACAAGGTTTTGGTTAAAGAGTGTCAAATTGGAATTTTATTTCAATGGTTTATTAGTTTTGGTTGCTATATTAAAAAGAGATATTGCAGTTAGATATACCTAGAGTTCTATTTATTGCTATATATGTGGAGTGGATTGCTTTTTGTTTTGCTACCATAACTGGTATTATTTCTCATACGTACTGAGAAATTTACAATGAGAATTACAAGGCAAGTTTACTGGTAGAAAACCAGAGCTTCTCTGTCTTTATTTTGTAAAATGGTGAGCAACCTGTCCTTACAGAAGGGAAGTATTTTATTTTCAGTTTCTGGTATAAGTATTGAAAAAGCCTCTCCTTTTGGTTTGAAGGCCTTGAGAGGTAGTGAATAGCTGAGCTAAGATTAATGGTGTGGAAAAGCAATGTGGACGATTGATGAATATAGCATATAATTTTTCTCATAGTTCTCTGTCCACAGCCACTGGTAAGAAGTGTTTTGGAACCTTACCAATATGGATTGCAGACTGACATGACTAAAGAGTACCTTTTTTATGAGTCCCTGTCTGGTGTAAATTCTCGCCTTACTGCGATACATTAAGTTGGTTGTTACCACCTTGTGTTAGTAGTACTACATAGCCTTAGTGGTTTTCGGGATTGGAGAGCTGCCGGCGGATTTGTGGAATATAAGATTGGATAGAAAGTGGTGGAATATAGGTGTGCCTTTACTTGACCCAATTAAACTGCTTTTATTAACCAAACCCTATTCACGAGGTCCGTAGTCACTTCTGGGTTTAAAGTTTTGCCACTGCTGCTTGGCCTCTGTCTCATCAAATGGAGGATTGATCATGTTAGATTTATTTGCTTTTATGTTAATATATATATATATATATATATATATATATCAAATTGAGGTCTCAGGTTTTCATGTTAACCATTGATTGTAACGATTTTAGCATTTATGTTAATATATATATATATATCAAATTGTGAGGTCTCAGGTTTTCATGTTAACCATTGATTGTAACGATTTTAGCATTTCGAGTGTAGTATCGCCAGTTTGTACAGAGAGCTTTACCATCTTGGAGGGCTAAAGTTCACACTATATCTTTGTTTCCAAGAGTTTGTGGATCATTCATTAGCTTACTGCATTGATGTCATTCCATAGATCCTTGTTCGCCGTATGAAAAAACAAAACAAAAAAAACAAAAAACAAAAAACGCATGAAATTGTATACCGCTATTAAGTAGCCAACGATTTCTGTTTATCATATGTGATTGACATTTGTGTTTGTTCATGCTATTTGTTTTTTTCATTAAATCCATTTAATACTTAAATCAACCCTTGAAGGGGAGGAAACTATGAAATCAAATCAGTATGAATGGATCAAACATAAGAGTGTCTACCGACTTAACAAATTATTATGTCATTCTTACTTTGAAAAAGTTTTTAGTATGTCTTCGACATTCAATTTCGTCTGAATTTGGAGGAAACAAATTTTAAAATTCCTCTACAATTATGATGATTGTCAACGTCTTGAATTTTTGAATACGACTCCGGATTCATGTACAAGAGTTTGAAATATGTTACATCAATATCTTCAACAGAAATACGTACTTGTCTAGCTCCCGCAAGTAATGGTTGGTCTCTCTCCCAAAGACTACCTTATCATTATTTGAAGCCTTAAGGGGGTGTAGATTTGGAAATATTTTGAATCAGAAACGAAGTCTACAATAGAGGAACAAGAAATATCCCAGGTGCAAGTAATGAGGCTTTCGATCATTGAATCACATCACTACTATATCAAAACTACAGTAACTTGAAAATTTAACATAACATGATGAAAATCCCACCATTTAGAACTACATAGCACTGATAAGAGTATTTCTCTTTGGACTAAAATTATTAACATTTGTCCAATTTGGGACGATTTTTCATTTTTGTGCCCATTACAAGACTTTGATGTCGCGACCTTCCCCGCTTTGCCCTGATAAAAAGCGACCTCCCCCGTTGTTGTCATGCCATCACGAGGGGAGTTTCAAAAGTCTCTTTTTTTTTTTTTTTTTTTTTTTTAAGTATAAATATATCATTATTAGTGTTGTTGTTTTACCAAACTACCCACAGATTCATGTGTTATGCACGTGATTTGTTCCGTCAAGCATTGTAGGAGCTTGGTAAGCGTTTGCTCGTCTGCAACTTAAAATTCAAAAAGTTCTGGGTGCTTTTTTGCTCCTTTTACAACTCTTATATGACCAATTTTTTTTTTTTTTTTTTTTTTAACAAGAAATAAGTTTCGAGAATCAAATAGTCGCCCATTAAAAAAAGTTAGGTCTAATAACTAAAAAAAAAAAGAAATGTTTTTAGCACATTTCAATCGAATGAAAAAGTTTGCAAAACAATTTTTACTATGATATAGCAACTAAAAAAAACAAAAACCTACATGTTTATTTTTTTTTTTTCAAGCGTTGCTATCAAAATCTTCAAAAGGAAAAAGGAGAAAAAAAAGGGTTCAGCTGCTCCTAGAGTTAGTTTCTTATCATTAAATATGGTCAAAATCATACACAATGAAAAATATATAAAATAAATAATTTTCAATAAAAATTCGACAGTTGAAAATATAATCTTTTCAAGTCGTTTATTTTTTAGTGCTTAATAAGAAAATCTCAAGAAAAAAAAAATCTAGAAACCAAAGACAAAAGAGACAGAAAAAATTGCAGAATTTATTTTTAAAAATATATGAGTCAAGTTTTATCATTTACTCTTAATTAATACTCTTTTATTAATATAATTATTTAATTAAAAAAATTATTAATTAAAAATAATGAATAAAAAAATTAACTTTTATATTTTTAAAAAATATTTATCTCCTTAATAAATTTTATTAAGTTGAATCTCACCTACTTATTAGCTGGTCTCACTTCAGATGAGTAGTCAGAGATTTTAAAGATAGGGACGAATAAAGATGCTTAAATAAATAACGAAGTTCTACATGTCTTAATGTGGCGCTATAACCGAACACAGAAACATACGATCTCAAAAGCCGTGAGATGATGGCTTCAAAACAAAACAAAAAAGAGCCTTTGTCTGTTTCGTGTTTGTAGTTAGTTTCATCGGATTCGCCAAACCAAAAGACATGAAGAAGAAGCTGAGGAGGAATTAACGCAAAACGTTCTGGCTTTTCAAAATGAGAACTTGCTCAAAATTTCTGGTCAAATATTACCAATCCAGTGTTCACATGCATGACATATATACGGAGTCAATTGTTCATGAATAGATTAGTTGTCCGCAAAACATATGTTTTCATTGTTGTGACCACAAAACAATATGAAAACAAAAAATAAACCACAAAACACATGAATATTTGGCTTGATGGAATTAAAGGAGTCTCCTTGATGTTTTCTTGATCCGGGGGCTTGACCTAGTTGATTGAATCTCCATCGCTGTTGTCTTGTTAAGGCGTGGAGAAGATCTTGATGGTGTAACTTTTTTCCTAGCAGTGGTCTTGAAAAGTCTCCAAGTCTTTGTATACATGACAACAGAAAGAGGCAAAATATTTAGTCATATATCACTTCATCAATAAGGTTCATATTTATTAGTTGCACTGTCACATTAAGATAACAAATGTTGTCTTACCGGGCTTTGTGGGGAAGATCTTGATGGTTGGCTTGAATGATTTGATATTGTGGTGGGATCTACGTAGTCATTGGATGGTGGAACAGTCCTTCGAGCATTCTTTTTTGCAGCCTGTAATCAACAAGTTGAAGTGGAATTACTCTGTACGTGTCTTGCACAACGTCTGTGCTCGGCCTCTGCCTTACCTTCCTTCCATAACGCCTTCAAAGCTTCGACTAGTCCATTCTGCTTGTCAATGATGAATGTCCAATGGGCAGTAATCGACAGATCGAAAAAGAATCAAACTTAACAGAATATTCTCACTATTCAAACATTTCAAGATGAAATTACCAAAAGCCATATACAAATTGCCCAAAATAATAACAAAATTGTTACCAAATTCCATAGTTAGGGTTCACGAAATCTTACCATCAGCTATTGACAATTCCACTTATTCCGATCGACTCAAACCCTTCCTTCTTCGGTGCTTTCTTCACTGATTAGTTTGAAGGAATTCAAGGCCTCGACTCAAACCCTTCCTTCTTCGGTGCTTTCTTCATTGATTAGTTTGAAGGAATTCAAGGCCTTCAATTCGAAAGGGAAGATCAAGAACAATGAGATGATTTTGGAAAATTTGAACTAGGTTTGAGAACGATGAGAAATGTTGAAATAACTCTGGATTTTTTTTGCCCTAATTGGCCCCATTTCAAACATGTGAGGATTTGTCCTAAATAACTTATTTGCCTTGGCCATGAGTGTCACGTGTTAAAAACATGACACTTATCATTCAAAATTTAACAGAGATGACAGATAAAGAGAAATCGTGCTAACAGATAATTATTCAGAGAAAAAATTTGATATTTTTAAAATTTAAAGGAAAATTTTTGTAACACGCCAATAGTTCAAGAGGTATAAGTATATTTTGTCTTATAAAAATTTTTAGCTCCTTCATGTATTGCTAGATTTGTAAGAAGATTGTAAAGGGATAACTTTCTTGTGAAAATCAAGTCAACACCGTTTACTTTACAAGATTATTATAATGGCATGACAGCAACGAGGTGGTAGGGATTTGGGGTTTCCCTCTAGAAGCATAAATTAGCATTGATGAAAATTTTCAACCAACCTTCACACGACACGATTATTGCAGATTAATTTCAGTCCATTAAGGATTCCTTTACGGTGAAAAGGAAGCTTATTACAACAATCACGAATCCATGAACTTCTCCAGTACCACATCTTATTATTCCTTTTACTGATTTAGTGAATAATATATATTCCTTCAAGATACAGAGGAACACGTGCAAAAGATTCAACATGCTGGAATCCAGGACCAAAGATACCTTATTCTTTTGGTGAGACGAGGATACCTTATTTCATATGCGTTTTTATTTCAACTATTATATATATGTGTGTGTGTGCATATGAAATCCAAGTAAAGATGCACAACATATCTCCAGATTTCTCAATCTGTAAATTCAAAATTTCCTGCAGGTGAACCGGATAAATTAGGTTCGATTCACAACAATAGTTAAAAGAGTTTTATTAGACAAATTAGGTGATGTTAATTCAAAGAAAAAGAAGAACAAAAATCTGATTAAATAATAAAGAAAACAAATATTTGGTACATTGAATAGAAGGATAAAACTGAATATACAAAGCATTATAACAAAATGACAACATTGTATGAGAACTACAATGTGATAAACTCAATTTTAATGGTAATACTCGACCAGTCAAGCACTAAAAACTAGTAAAAGTAAAACAAAAAGCATGGACAGGACAGATGATGCGAAATGAAAAAATTTTCCAAAATATGAAAGGGGTTGGCTTTGAGGATGCCAAACACCACTTTATCCTCGTCAAACTAAAATTTTAAAAGAAAAAACCGAAATTAACCCATAATGTACTTGTAGCCTTACCTTGCAATCACCCAAGGGCGGACTGTAAATACAAAGCCAAAAGAAGAGAAGTTTCCAATAGAAAGTTGCATGTGCTTTTAAAGCTCTAACGACTGGACTTTTATAAATTTGCCAAGAAATTAACAAACTTCAACATCTCAAGGACAGGACACAATAAATAAGAAGTTGAGCTTTTAGAACACACATAAACCAATATATGCTTACAAGGAAACAAACATTTTAGGTTTCTATTCAACAGCTGCTTAACAATAGATAAATTTCCATCAGTTGTTATGCAGTAACCATAGAAAGAAACGTGTATCTAATAATCTTAAAATACAAAAGTTCAAAGGTGGGACAAAATGAAAACAACAAAAGATAATATGTGTACGTACAAACATAATCAAAAGCAGCACAGCACTGGAAATAAAAAGGTCTCATAACTAAATTTTGGTCTTTCTGCCTCCAACAAGATTAGCTGTAGAATACAGATCTAACACTAGACTAGAATTTAACATATTTCCATTCCACCACCAGATGAGACTAGTTTTTAAACCTATACTCGGTCCAAAAACAAAAACAAAAGCAAAAGCTAAACCGATCAAATTTGCAACATAATCCATCCTAATGCTTACAAAAAAAAAAAAAAAAAACCATTGGAACAAAAGAGTGGCACGAAATTAAACTTCAAACAAGAAGTTACTACTAGAACCAAATCTAAGATATATCTGCATAATCTAATAAGATCTAGGCCAAATCCCACTGGTTTTGCTTCTACCCAGAGAGAGAGAGAGAGAGAGACAGAGTCCAACTCCATACGATGCATCTTCACATACCAAAAGTCAAAAAATCCTTGAAAAGAAAATCTTGGGAATTGAATTGCCAATCAGAAAAACACGTGCAAACTGAAGCTAAGCCTCAGGAGAGGGCATTCTCTTGTTAAGCTTCTTCTTCTTCTTGTCAGACATGGCCTTGGCAAACGCCTCAACGATCCGCTGCTGAGAGTCGAGGATCATCTCGGTTCGCTTCATCTCCATCTCCATCCGAATCGTCTCGATCTCCCTCGCCATCTCCATCTTCATCTGCTCCATCCTCACGAAACCCTCCCCCAGCGCCTTTATCGCCGACACCATCTCACCCACCGGATCCCTCTCCCTCTCCCTCTTTCCCAAACCGCTCGCCCTCCCCGAGCTGCACTCCTTCACCACCTTTGTTCCAAAATTCACCCCCGAATTCGAACCCGAATTTCCCTTCTGATCGAATTTCGGAATAAACTTCGTACCAGGCTGTGCTATGCTCACCCCGGTTGGAATTCTGATTCTAAACCCGCCGCCGCCACCATTCCTATACAAATTACCCATATTCTTCGAATTCGACCCGAATCTCAACTCTTCGTAGAGTCGCTGATCCGGGTCTTCGTCGTCATCCCCATAATTATCGTTATCATGATCATCATCGTCAACGGGGCTGTCGGAGTTCTCGGGCTTAACAGAGGAAGGGCCTTTCTCCATGGCATCCATGCGCTTGAAGTGAACCCAGGAAGAATTGAACCTGGAGACCGGCATGGATCTGGCACGCTGGAGCTCCGTGCGGTAGCGCTTCCGGAGTTTCTCCATTTTATGGCGGCACTGGACGGCGGTCTTGGCCGGAGAGGCGGTGGGGCAGCGGGCGGCGACGGCTTCGGCGACCTCCTGCCAGTGTGTGGCCTTGAGATTTCCGCGGCGGAGGGAGTACCATTTGTCACGGTAGGAGTCGATCAGGGCCGCCGTCTCATCGGGAGACCAGCACGGCGGCGGGAGGCGGCGGGAGGAGGACGAGGACGGCGGCGGCGGTTGGGATTGAGATTGGGGCTGGGGTTGGGAGGAGGAAGAAGGAGGCGGCGGCGGCGTCTGCGGCTGCGATGGCAGCGGTGGAGCGGGAAGAGCGAGGGGGATGGCCTGCGGTGGGCCCGGCGGAGGAGGGGAGGAGTCGGGAGGAGAAGGTGCAGGAGAAGCCATGGATTGCGGATCTGGGGATATGGGATTTTGGGGAGAATAATGAATGGTGGAGGTGAAGGATAAGAGAGGAGGCGTAGGTTAGTGGCGGCGGGTGTGGTGGTGGTGGTGGTGAGGGGATAAAGGGGAGAGAAGACTAGGTCTTTGATGAGGAGAGGGATTGGTTAGGGAGGGGGCGGTGATGAAGGATAAGGGAGGCGGCGCACGATAGCAAGAGGTGGTGCGGGTAGGGTAAGGTGGAGGAGGATAAGGAGGAGAGAGAAAGGGGGGGACAGAGAGAGAGAGGAGGGAGTGGGGGTTTTTGACTTGGGGGGATGGTGGTGGTGGAGAAAGTGGTGTTTGGTGACATATTTGGGGGGGTAAATGGTGGGGTTAAAGAGTGGTGTTGGGTTGGGTTTGGGTGGTGGGAGGGAGGAGTGTGCGGCTGATTTTGAGATCTCTAGGAGACACAATAGATGAGGCCACCGCTTAGGTGGGGGAGGGTGTGGGTGTGGTGTGGGCATGGCGTGAGAGGTGGCTAATGTGCGCCGTGCTTGGTAAGCTGCGCACCCAACCCCCCAACACAACACGCGCCTCTTCCTTCCATTACATGATACAACACAGGAGATCCACCCTCTGACCTTTGGCCAATTTGGGGGTCGTCACCATGTGAGTGAGAATAGTGGGGAATTGTGATTTGTGATCAAAATCCACCGTTTAGGGTGTGTGTGCGCGCGTGAGCAGTGATTGGCTTTTTTTTTAGTTTTTAATCCATGTTTAGTTCATAAATTTAAAATTATAATTTAAAATTATTTTTAATTTATGTTTATTTTTTATAAAAAAAATACTGTAATAAATTTTAAATTATGATTTAAATTGTATCACGAATACATTAACTAAACACAAAGAGTCTTATCATGGAATCTCCCATTTCTATTTTTTTTTCGTTAAGTTGTCAACTTTAATTTTGGAAATAGGAGTGATGGTGTGGTGATTTATTGGGTTTTCTCTTCATTTGATTTTGAATAAAGGTAGCTAATAGTAAATTTATAAAATTAAATTAAGTAAATAGTATATATTAAAATTATTTAAAATAAATAATAATTTATTGTGTAAATATTTTATTTACAATTAATAAAAAGATTCAAGAATTTGATTTTTATATCCAAAGACAAACAGTACAAAACATAACAGACATAAAAATATTTATAATCAAATTGGCATAATAGACAAGACTCAATGCATAAATACAAATATGCAATGGTTTTTCTACACGATAACAAAAAAGTGAAGACAAGCACTGCACTGCTACAATACAAATAAAACCCGCCAACTTTAAAAAAAAAAAAAAAAAAAAAAAAAAAAGAGAGAAAATTGTTGAACTTATCTTTTGAGTGCATGAATTTAAATTTTAATTTCTTACTCTTGATTAATATCTTTTTTGTTAAGTAATTATATTAATTAAAAGAATAAATATTAATTAAGAGTGAGCTTAGAGGTATTTATCTTCTTGCCTTAAAGAAAAATTGATACCATATGTCAACATTTAAATGAGAATAAAAAGACAGAGGAATTGGAATTAAACCTAAAATAGAAAAGAAAGGAAGGGTAAGAACAAACAGGACTAGAAGTCCTAAAACCCATCACCTAAATCAAGTAAGACGCAAATGAAAAAGAAAAAAGCCATTAAATGGGAAGTAAATGGTATGCATATAGGAAAATTTAAAGACAGAACAAAAATGATTGTGATTTGAAGCATAACTTACCCTTAACAAAATCCCAATTGCTTTGAGACACTCTTTTCTACTTCTACCACGAAAATATACCATCCCACCCGAAAAATGCACAAGTTTTTGAGAGAACTAAAGAAGAAAGAGAGATTAGGACTCACAGAGCAACCGAACCGAGAGAGAAAGAGAGGAACAAAAGACGAGAAAGAAACAGAAAAAAGAAAAAATGGAAGAAGCTGAAGAGAAAGAACAAAAACACCACAAAAAGAACAAAGAAAAAAAAGGATAGAAAACAAGAAAATAGTTCAACCAAAAGTTTGGACAGTATAAATGTGAGAAGATGCACAGTAAATGCATTTAGATTTCTAATATTAGTTATAAATTATAGATATATTATGTTAGCCTTAATTATAAATATGAATTTTAACCACCATATTCATAAATTCTAAGAATCATCATGTCAAATTATCAATAAAAATATTAAAGAATAAATACTTATTTCTATAGTAGTAGCAATCAACGTCTTAACGGAATATTTACGATGATAGGTGAACCAGTGAACCGGTTATTATTTTTCTCAATCAAATCTCTGGAGCTCCTTAATGGAGCTCCTTAATGGGTTATTTCTCTCTAAATAGGATAGATGAGAAAGCGGCCCAATAATTTGACGTGTTGGGAATTATAACTTATATGTCCAGTAAGATCTCATTAAACTTAATTGAATTAGTATTAGATATCCGGTCATTAAATCCATACTCAATTAGAAGTCTTACGGGCTTTTCCTAATTATAATGCTTAAAAGTCCCATTATAATTAAACAGTTGTGATATAATTGACATTGTTATAAAATTTGTTGCCCACATTATCATTGGGAATAACGTGAATTTCCCAACAGATTCTAGATTGGGTAAAATCCGACGTTGTTTCAGAACAGGTTCCTGTGACGAGCAATACCGCGTGTTTATTCGATGCTTACTATGGTTTGCTAAAGACAGTCCTTTTCTTAATTAGCGGTCATCAGCCAAGAAGTTTTCGTGTAATATTGCTGTGATCTGCATGGACTTCGTCCAAGTCATCTTTCATAATTTCTCCAAATCTTTCCCTTTCTTTCCCACGGTCTCACCTTCCTCTTCTTTTCCTTGTTCCTTCCTCACAACATTGACTTCATGGTCAACCCACAAAACACAAATAAACGCAAAAACTAGTTAACTTCCTCCTTTTATCTTTAGAAGACAAGATCCAAGAATCCATCATTGCATAGCACTAGAGTGAACCCAAAAAGGAAAAAAGAAGAAAATGGCAAACCCACCTGATCAGGAAACAACAACAGGTTGGAAATGGTTCAAGAGCTTCCAATACAACAAAGAAAAAGTTTTCCTAATATCAAACACTTTGGCGCTCTCTTCGGCCATCTTGGTCATCATATCGCTTACTTACAGGTTCCCTTTTCACTTCGAGATTTGGGACGCCACGGTTTCGATGATTATCACTTACGGCTCTTCAGTGTTGGCCGTGACGCCCCGTGAGTCGGTGAGGTTTCATTACGTTCTGTCGGCGGCTGCTATGCCTTTTGCGTTGCGGCTTTTGTGGGAGATTTTCAACTGGTTCAGACCTGATGATCAAGTTTCCAAGTTGTTTCCTTGGGTTGCCAAGACTTGCAAGTCATTTGCTGACTTAGTAAAATTCATACGTCTTAAAATTCATGACATCCTAAAATAAATCTTAATTATATGAGTCATATTTAGATTAATATGATATGTACGTTGAGACTTGGGAGGAAAGCCATCATGAGGTTTGAGGAAATTAATGTGTCACAATAGTGGAATCTCATTTTTTTCTTTCCTTTTGGAACAAAACATGCACACAAAGGTTTTTAGTACAATAAAAAAAAATACACAACAATTTCTTTTTCTTTTTTCTTTTTAATTTATGATAGAGTAGCCTTGTTTTCGTTACCCCTAGTCATGAAGCCGTGATATTAATTATTCAACGGTTCATCTATATATAATTAGGAGTTATTTGTGTTGCACAATGCACATTTTTAATGTTGACACTAATAGCTAAGTGTTGAAAAATTAATCTGGGTAAGAAAGCATATTCACTTTTTTTTTTTTTTTTTTTTTTTTTTTGGTTTGAAGGATGAGAATCTAAAATGAAAAACAAAGCAAAACAAAGAGGAAAACCATCTCCCTCACAAATATCCCTCCTTAAAAGAGAGATCAGACAAAAGTGGATCCTAATTAAGGAATTGACAAACTATATAATATTGATACGGCCTCTTCCTGATCTCCCATATTGCACCACCATTAATTCACAGTATAATCCCTCCACCTCTCTCCCTTACTAATTCTTAAATCCATCCAACCATAAAGACACTTGAAGCTCCTCACATTCACCCATACAATCTTCGAACAAAATCCGATGATGATTTTTGTATTGGTAGCACATTAATGATGTTTTAGCACACGCTGTAACACAAGTCCTCAGTTGAAATGCTTGATCAGCACAATGTTGCTTGCATTGGCCCTTACACTCTTCCAACAAAATTCGATTTCTGTAATGTTCAAGGCAGAATGTTTTAGCACATCGCGAAACACAAATTATTGTTCTAAAGGAAATCTTTATTGTTTCCCACGTTGAAAAGAGTGGGAACTTCTTAAGTTTATCAATCAAAATAGGAAGAAAAACCTCATCAGTGGTAGAATTAGGAAAAAGGATATTATAAGCGACAGAAGGAAAGGGTGTAGGATTAGAGATTGCTTGTATTGCTTGTATAAGCATTATCATTCCTATGATCAATTTAGCAGCTTGAATCTTCTTCCTAATTACATCCATTTTGATCGTAATTTTCTCTTGAAAGACAAATCCCCCCCTTTTTTTTTTTGGCTAATTAAAGTACATAGCAAAGTCCATTAATCATTAGCCCTTTTTTGAATGTGATCATCAGAGGCTGTACCGGTCTTGGATAGTAATCCATTTCTGTGTACATTGGTGAGGGAGCGAGATGATTTATATTGTTGACATGATCAGTTGTACTACTACTTGAAATATTATTATTATTTTTCATGTTTTGTGAATTTCCCACTGATGAGAAACCACTTGGTGGGTTGACTGCGTAGTGCAAAACTGTGTTTCCACCTTTATCACCCCAATTCATCATCTCTTCCAATCCGAGCTTTTCAAGCCATTCCACCAATTTTCTAAAGGTGCTTCAAATCTGTTGTACTTGACAGCAATATGCAGAGCAGTTTCTCCGAGAACCGTCATATCTTTTACGCAATCTGAAGAAAAAGTGAGCAGTTAGTGTTGGATCTTTAAATCCTTATTCTACATTTCAGGAATCATCACACCAAATTACTAAAAAAAAAAGTTAGAATTCTGACATGTTTCCATTGATGCAGCCTTTAGATCTCCGGTAGAATTCTCTAAGATAACGAGCACGACGGTTATTGCCTTCCTCAGTTAAATCTCCTTAGTTCTTTAATGAGTGTTTTCTCTCTAGATGGGGAAGAATGAAAATTGCCTTATGATTTGACATATTAGAGACCATAACCTTAGTTTCTTTATATACTGTCTCATTAGGCTCTTATTAAACTTAATTGAGTCAATATGAGCATCCATCGATTCAATACATATCCTGTTAGGAAACTAGTTGGACTTTTTATAATTAGATCACTTAAATTAACTCAAATAATTAAATAATTTAATATAATTATTAAATAAATATGTGACCCACAATGTAAGAAACTCACGTTTCCTAACGGTTGGTCCATAGTCTCAATCTTTCCACTTATAGCAGCACAGTGAATTGATGTGTTTCCACCTCTTCCCTTCAAACGACATATATCATTTCCATGATCTCCACATGTCCCAAGGCCGAGGCTATATCCAAAGGTCTAAACCCGTCGTCGTTCAGCTCTCGTACAGACTCGGGATTTGGCCTAATCATCTCTTGGACAAAACCAAGTTGTCCTGCTTTTGTAGCAACGTGCACTGGACCCTCATGAAGGAGACACGAGTGTATAATCTGCGAGAATCATAGGGCTTTCTTCAATAAGTTGATGTAATGTTATCTTCCTCAAATAATCTATGGATTGACATTATAAATATTGTTGGTTACTGCAATTTATTTGTAGATCTCTCTGTTAAATAATTTCTCATGTGTTTTAAACCTATTATGTATTGAAAGGGGTCATATATTCGGCCGGTTTGGCAACATTACGCTTAAAGTCCAGATTTTCAATTTAGTCCTTGAACTTGAACTATCTTGGCATTTAGTCCTAACAATTTGATTAATAATTAGTGTAATTACACGCAATAGTTGAGTTTAGGCCCTTTCCATTTGGCGGTCCTCGATATTGCGGATGGGGGGACGTGAAGTGCACCACTTGAACTCTTTTTTTCTGATTAAAAAAATACAAGCAACAGTTAAAAGTGATTTTTTTTTTTTTTTGTATTATTAAGGATTAACTCAGCTAATATATAAAATAACCGTACAATAATTAACATATGACAATAATATATGAGCCCTCCCGAAACTAAGTTTGTTTATTTGCGTTAATTAGAAGCAGGTGGAGGGAAATGCAATAAGATAAAAGTGGCTTAACATAGGAAAAAAGTACAGGTCTTCCACAATGCAAGAGTTCAAATTAAACGCACGAAGTGATGACTCTTAATTTGATTTGATCTCATGCATGATGCATACACCTAATCACAACCGACATTAAAAAAAATGTTTTCGGTTCCTCTTGTTGACCAATTGTTCACACAATTTAATTGGTGGGGTTCCTCAGATCTTATTGTTGTACTCCACGTTTTTTTTTTTTTCCCCCGCTCGGAATGTTGTACTCCACTTGGTTACTTCCTAGACATTACAAATAATTAGTCAATAACGGTGAGGGAAAAGTTTATTCTGCTATGACGTATAAGCATGCATAATCACTTGACACTGCAAAAACAAAAAAAACAAAAAAAACAAAAAACAGAGCTTTCAATTCATGGCAATTTGTTACTTCCAACGACGACACTGCATCGCTAAAAATACGAGTGTCACTTGAAGCTTTCAATGAAATAGTTCATTAACAAATCAATGAGAATTTCTAATAGGCTATTAAAAGAAGATGCGTTTTTTTTTTAATTTTTTTTATCATCAAAGATGCTATGTTATAGGTCTAAATTATAGCCCAGTAAAAATGATAACTTTAAAGATTAAGGGTGTGTTCGACAACCTCAAAAATTCAAAAAAAAAAAAGGTAATTCGAGTTCCAACTTTATTTAAATTTATGTTCTTTTAAGTTTGAATTCGAGTTTGGGATTAAAATTCGAGTTCAACTTTCCCTTTTAACTCGAGTTTAGAAACTCAAACTCAAATTAATAAACAATATTTTTTTATTCTTAAAAATGCTATAACTTTTTCGTTTTAATCCTGATTGAGATGATTTTTTTTCTATGCGTTGACAACGAAAAGACGAATAAAACCACACCCATATACCCTATTAAATTTTTTTTATCACCATTGAGTTTTTATTAAAATACTATCTAAATATAAATTTAAGTTTTGACTCACTCAAATATAAACTCAAAAAGATTTATATCTCAAATCATAACTCATATGTACACAACCAAACACAAACTCAAGTTACAACTTTAACTCAAATTATAATTCAAATTCAATTCAAGAACTACACTTAAATCACACTCCAAAATAACAGACCATTGAGAAAAGACCAATCATGGGCAACTAGTTATATATATATATATATATATATGTGGAGAGAGAGAGTTTAATTGTCTTTAATTTTTTGGACAGAAAGTTACATATGAAAGTAGGTAATTGTTATGTTATAATATTCAAAAAAAAAAAATTATACTATATGACCACAATTCATGACAAAGCATGACCACAAATATATCCCATATGCGCTTATATACACAGCTTCTTCATTGGCAGCTATCTATATAATGAAAGAGAATCCCAACCTGGATATATATATATATATACGAGTAACAATTTTCAACAATAATATAATAGAACGTAATACATCACAAGAGCTTTGATAGCCAGACTGTAAAGAAAAGACCCCCATCTGTACATGCCAATCGTCAAATCATGACTTTCAGATACAAAATCCATACCAAAAAAAAAAAAAAAAAAAAAAAAAAAAAAAAAAGGGGGGGGGTTTTTTAGGGGGAGGTTTTGCTAGGGTCAGTTGCAAGTGTCACGAAATTGTACAGCCATCCGATCAAGTGAGTCCCATGCCTTAGATTCATTTCTGGACAAATAATGCTATTAATTGTTCAACACCACTTATTATAATTGAAGGCGAGCTTCATAGCACAGGTCCCAAAACTGGGACTCGCCTTCTATAATATAATTATTTGTGGTGCGAAAATATTTATCTTTTTGGACCCAATAATTCAAAAGATGAAAAAAGGCACATGTACCATATTGTAAGAACGTTGCGTGACACTCTTAAAATGATATTACACAGACGAAAAGTTTAGTTCACTAAGCCGCCAACAACAACAAGAAGAAAAGAAGAAGAAAAGGAGAGTGATCCACTTGATGTACCTCTAAATTAAGCCTAGTTATCAAAGTGTTGAAAACAATATTGGGCTTAATTTTCAAGAAGGGCTTTGTATTTTGTAAATTAAATTAATTAAACAGCCAGTTGCTGTTGTTGCCGCTTTTGACGGGAGGATTCTTCGTCGCTGAAGCACAAGTGGAGGTTGAGCGATTTTCCAAAGCTGAGGGAAGAATCTGCTGCAGCATGATCTAGTGGTGGTTGCATAAGGAGCATCTCTCTTTGCAGATAACAACAGTAAGTTTGGAATGTGGTGGGGCTCACATTCAAGTGGAAGCCCAACCCAAATAGGAAATCCACTTCAAGAAAATTCATTTCTCTTGTGTTGATTCCTCCAACTTTTGCATAGTAAGCATTGTTGTAGTACCTGAATTAAGTAGATATACAATATTAGCACAAGTGAACGCTCTTAAGTATTAATTAGGAAGGGTCGACTGAGTATATATACAAGTATATATAATAATATACAATTTAAACTTTGCAGAGCATGAAAATTCCTGAATTTGTCAGCTCACTAATAAAAGATGGACGGACATAACCCCGGCAAATGAGATCATTTGTATTTTATTAGTTGTGGTGTTTCCCAACTTTTTATTTTATTTTATTTGGACCCCTATGACATTGACTTTATTGTTTCTCTTTTTATATGATGACAAATATTTTACATTGGATGACAACGGGGAAACAATACCATCAAGCCTAAATCGTTTTATTATAACGTGGTTTGACTTTTTCTGTATATTGTACGTTCATGCTCAATTTGCTGGATTCCCTCATGAAATGCGTCTTGGCTGGCTCTCTAATAAGAACATGAACAGAGCTATAATTTTGCAGGGAAAGATTCGACGATTATGAGATAAATATCATTCTACAGCTATTTTACAAATTTATATGAAAGAGAAATTCAAATAAACGAATTGACTAGTTTATAGAAAGTTTTTAAGAGTTACTACGGCAATCAAACATTCAAACTCCAAAATCAACGGCAGCTTTGATCTAAAACATAATTGTTCACAAACCCCAGATCAGATTCACAAAAATAGAGACAACTAGCTATAATTGATCATCAAAAGTGAATATAGAGTAGTGAAGCTGATCAGAAACAACTTCACATCTGTAGTCTACCAATAACTTTGACATGCTCTAACTAAAAGCGCTTCATAATTATACTATATGACCAAAAATCTGATTAAATTTCAAACAAAAGATTATGTATAAATAATTAAACAAATTGTTGCGTTGATGATAAATACTTACATATCGTCCATGAATTTTGCGGCCACCATGACACTGGTGATGAGCAAGCGATGAACGTTTAAGGAGTTGATGGGCAAGGAGGGTTGTCTCTGTGCAAACCGGTCCAAGTAAACATAAGCAACGACGTAACAAGACGGACTACAATTGGCGTACTTGAAAATCCTCTCTAAATAGCTCTGAATCGAAATGGTCGGTCGAGTTAAGCCATGGAAGACTGAGATTTTCTGGGGCTGGAATTGGCAGTTTATGTCGTTTGATTCGGACACCCTTTGGAGCAGAGAAGAGAGAAATGTGATGAGACTTGTCATCACCTTTGGGTTCTCAAGCTGATCTGCTGCCATTGATGATGATCAGAGGTTTTTCTCTTTCGGAAGTACTGAAAATTGTTTTGAAATCTAGATTTTGGGTGTGTTGGGATATATAAAGGTACTTTTAATTACCAAAAGAATAAAAAACCAGGTAAGTAAGGTGGTCGTTGATGGGTAGGTATTTTTTTACTGACCAAAATAGCCTAAGGAATTTGAATTATGGCTTTGTATATATAACCCTATTAGTGGACTTGATTTACACTTTTTTTTTTCTTTTTTTTTAATTTGAAATGATAATAAAGGGTACTGTGTGTTTGAGTTGGGTAATGATGTTTTGCTTTTCCTCTATTTGTAAAATTTCAAACAAGGTAAAGAGGGAAGAATTAATTAGTAATTAATATGGATTAAATGTGGCCTAGCTTGTGTCTTTTTCCTCTTGATGAAATGGTTTTAGGGCCATTTTTTCTTGTGATTTATATTGTGACAATCGTGATGGGCATGCCATACCCATCATGTGATTTCATGTGGGAAAATTTTGTGACTCTAATTTATGGGTCCCATTTCCTATTAGAGATCTTGCATGTGGTTGATGGTTGTGATTCCATACAATTGGGTGACATAACATGGATTTGCTATGTTGGTCCATGGCATTAGTATATGCTGCTTTTGTCTAAAATCATACAAAACTTTACAAAATTGATTAAATATTTAAAGATGATTGGCTGGAGGCTTAATTCACGGAAGCTGCAAGCTAGCGACTAATCTCATAATATTAATTTAATTACACCCCATTAATAATCCTTTTAATAAATATAATCTTATGAATGGTAAATTCAACTTATAAGATTTTGGATCAATGCAGATCTTAAAGCTTTCATCTAATAGGACTTGCATACATGACTGAACGCCACTTTTTTCTTTTTTTCTCGCTCTTTTTATTTTACAAATTAAGATTCGAACTATATGCCTCAACACTTGAGAATGATATAAATTATCGCAAGTTAATCTTACAACCACAATTAATATTATGATTTATCTACTATTATTATATTAATATTATATAGGGACTATGAGAATCTCCTAAATAAATGGGTGATGATGACTAAGGGGTTATTTGATTGGGAGATCTGTACCTCGATTCGAATTATGGTTCATGGTTTGTTACATTATTTTTTTCACGAAAAATACACGTAAATCAAAAATAATTCTAATTTTATGATTCTAATCCATGAACTAAAAGTGTCTTAAATCATGTCTATGAAACAAAATATTGAACAGCAAAGCCTATATCCGTAAAACAGCAAGGAGTTGGACAACAGTACAAAACATTCATCCTCAGATTCACAAGGTTGGCTCTTTGTTGGACTCTCTATCCGTACTACAGGCTGTAAATGAACTAGATGGAAGTTACACCTACAAAAAATAATATTATAACTGTTACATTTTTTTTTTCTTTTTTGAACTATAGTATTACTTGCTTATAAGCTACAAGCAGTCATTAGCTAAAAATGATATTTTTCCTTTCTTTTTCATTTGCTTTTTTAGGTTACAAATTACAAAAATTTTCTTAGGGTATTAATATAATTATTGTGCTTTGTATATGTCAATTTTACCTAATAAAGATTTTTCCTCAACTTGCCTGATTAATTGTTTAATTTGGTATCTAGCTACTTTCAAAACCAACATGTGCATAAAATTTAGGATTACAAGCGACAGCAAAGCTACGTCCGTATTAAAGGGGTTTTTTTTTTTTTTTTTTTTTTTTTCAATGGGAAACTTTTAGCACTATACAGCTGCATCAGCTGTAACCTCTCTACCCCAACAGTTCACTAAAGTTATAAAATAAAATAAAATAAAAGAAGAAGAAGAAGAAGGTTTGCCAAAAGGTGGACTACCATATTACCACGACGGGTAATATGCTTATATTAAAGGTTGATGTGTGTGTATTTATAAGATGGAGGAAGAATCAAACGAGGTCCAAGGTTAGGAGGAAGAAACCTAGATGGTGACTTTACAGCAAAGATCTTCCTTTTTTTCTTTTTTATGTTTCTTAATCATTTCTTATAGTTTAGGCTAAGAATTAACAGCAAGGATCATTTTTTTTTTTTTTAGGTACGTAGTAATCTTAGTTGTAACTAGTAGTCTACAACTCACAGTTATATAACAATATGATCTATGACCAGCCTTAATTGCCTTCAGCCTGCTTTAGCATTACTCATGATCTGTAAATTAACTTTTATATTTTGCAGTAAAAAAAAAAAAACATTATAGATCTATGTCGAAAAAAACAAGTACGTCCGATCATGATCCTGCATGTGTGACAGGCTAGGTAATATATTATTAATAATGAACCTCCTTCACAATATTCTACTATATAAAACTCTCTAGAGTACTGATCTCGTTAATTAATAGTCCTCATAAAAAATTTAACAATAATATAAAACAAAATAAGAAAATCACATTTCAGAAAAATAAATTGGAATATTAGAAATTAGAGAAAAATTATAAATAAAATGGACCACCCCCATGTTGTTCTTTCGAATGCAACAATAGTGGGCCTCAAGTAACATTAGACTAGGATGTTTGTCGCACCCCGAAGTTGGAGTTAGTGACGTGAAAATTCGTTTAGAAGTTAAACACGATTAGGAGAGTAATTAAACATTTGAAATCATAATAATCAAAATCAAAAGGAAAATATTAAAAAAATCTTTAAACGAGCCCTACATTTAACTAAAAATAAATTACAATAAGTCACAGGGTCTTCCCCACTTTCTGATTTCAAGAGGTTTCAAACTTGAGCCTCTAACATGGTTCAGAGCTTCACCCACAGGATATGCAGTATTGTACATACATGAACATGTAAATAACATTACAGATATCAACCATAGTCTAGAAATCCAAAGTTCAGAGTTTACAGAATTTACAATTCTTACATTTGTACACAAGAAGGACGATCACAATCCTCACTAGATCAGACGGTAGCAATTATATCAGTTATTCAGCACTGCTCCTAGAGTCGCCTGTGAGGGGTTAATATTTATAAAACAGATAAAACGTGAGCGAAATGCCCAGTATGATGTAATTTAAAATAAGCTTTGTAAGCAAATAATCAATTGAATGAACAAGTAAATAAATGAATAAATAAATAAAAGTAGACATTCAGTTCCAACACAACAATCGTAACCTCAGATCCTTTTTCTGAAAGGAATATAAATTGAAAATTTATGTATTACAGGCATCAACAAGTAATTTATCCTCTGATAAATTACTTACACAACCACAAGCACAAGCCTTATCACCATCGTAGTGGCTCGGTCTGGATTTCAGATTCTGCCCCCAAGGATACACTCTTCATATCCTATCTAGGCCATCAGCCGGTTTACCGATTCGCAAGATTTCTTATCTTAAAAAATCATTCATTAAACTTTCTGAAATAGTTCATTATAATTCCAATAGCTAAAATCAAGCTATTGTTTTGAAAATGTTTTTCTTTCGCAAACATGCCCTTTCTTTAAAACATTTGCAAGACCAAAACTCTTTTAAAATCAGACTAACAAAGAAAAGGGTAAGAAATCCTACCTCTCAAGCATCAAACATGTGGCTAGAGTTGCGCTATTTCGGCTTTTGCTTCCTCAAAGCATTCAATTCGACTCCTTAGCTAGCATTGATACAAAACAACACTTTAGGATCCATTTATCATTTCTAAAGTAAATCAATCTCAATTATACTCTTCGATTTCCTATTAGTGCGCCTTAATCCAGTTTCAAGTTTTATAAATCATTTTACGTTTCAAATCATCATTTCAAGGGTTTTGATCTCAAAACATGGATTAAAGATGCTAATCCATCCACTTTAGGTCCCTAAATGAAACTAATTTAGGTCCTCTTTAAAAATTAGGTCAAAACAGGGTCAAACTCCGTGTGCACCAGTTTACCGGTGATAGAGATGTGCAACACCACCGGTCGACTAGTGGTGTGCAATCCGGTCGACCGCATAGATCGACTAGTGGAGAATAGGGATGCGAGAAAACTCACCGAATCAGCCAAAAAACCTGCAATTTCAAGTCCAAATCTAAAACATTTCAAGGGAAAACAACCAAATTTAGGTTCTAGTTACTAAATCAAGTCTAAAGAACCATTTTTTCCCAATTTCTACTGTGATTTTACTCAAAATCCATAAAAATCCATTTCAAACTAAAATAAGTTTTCTAATCCGAGATTCAAGAGAAGTTTTTTAGAAATCTCACCTCAAATCCTTCTCTTGACGTTGAAAACTTCTTAAAATTCTTCTTTGGTTCGAAATCCGGTTGATTAGAGGCAAAAACGGGAGAGAGAGAGAGAGAGAGTGAGTGAGAGAGAACGAGAGTGAGAGGGAGAGTGAGAGTGAGAAAAACGACAGAGAAGAGAGAGAGTGAGGGTGCACGGGAAGGAAAAAGAAAGAAAGAAAAAGAAGAAAGAAAAAGAAGAAAGAAAAAGAAGAAAGAAAAAGAAGAAAGAAAAAGAAGAAAGAAAAAGAAGAAGGAAAAGAAAATGAAAAAGATATGTGTCCAATATTTAAAATGCAGTTTAAAAAATGTGTCTACACACACTCTGGGGTAAAAATCTAAATACTGAGAACATTTAAATTTCTTAAAAATATTTAAATTTATACGTCAAAAACAGTTATTACTGAATAATTAATTAATTAAATCATATTAGACACACTAATAAACCTTAATTATTTTAATTAATCTCGTTTAATTTCTCAGGTGTTATAACGTTGCAACAGTTTTTCAGAAGGCTAATCATTTACTAAAACATGTTAAAAAATAGAAATAAAAACCGCACCCTTACCTTGAGGTCTATTAGTGCTGGAACTTCGGGTCGGCGGGCCGCCCGAAGCCCGAATTTTTTCGGGCTCGGGCGGGCCGGCCCAATTCCCGCCCGTCCAAGCAAGAAATTCAGGTTCGGGCTTGGGCAGCCCGGATTTGACATGTCCACCCTTGCCCGCCGCCGTCTAACCACCGTATACCGCCGTCCGCCGGGATTTTTTTGCACACCGTATCCCGCCGTCCGCCGGGATTTTTTTGCATTTTTCTGACCAAGCCTGAACTGCCCGACCCGAAAATTGCCCGAAAATTGGGTGTGCCCGAATTGCCCGACCCGAAGCCTGAATTTTTGAATTTTTTGAATTTTGCCCGAATTTTTCCCGCCTGCCCGACTTGCCCGAATTGCCCTAATACCCGAAAACGGCTAGTTTTTTGAATTTTGCCCGAAAACCCGAGTTGCCTGAAAATGGCTAGTTTTTTGAATTTTTACCCGAATTCGGCCCGAAAACCCGAGTTGCCCGAACTGCCCGAATTGCCCGAAAACGGCTAGTTTTTTGAATTTTTGAAAAAATTTGCCCGAAAACCTGAGCTGCCAGAGTTTGCCCAACTGTCCGAACCCGAATTTCAAAAAACTAGCCGTTTTATCCTTTTTTTTTTTGAAAAAAAAAATCATTTTTTAACCCCAAAATTTCCCTATAAATACCCCCCATCCCTCACACATTTTTCTCACTCAAACTCTCTCAATCCCTCTCAATCTCTCTCAATTTCTCTCAATCTCTCTCAATCTCTTTCAAGTTCTCTCAATCTCTCTCAATCTCTCTCACAATTTTTCTAAAGCTCTATCTCTAGTGTCTATCAAATTCATCTTATTTTTTTATAATGGATCCTTTTGGTTATAGTGGTATTCCCGTTGATGCCCAACACAATGTAGAAGAAGGGCAATTTCCCACTAATGAGTTTGTTACGCAGCAAATGCAATCTACTAATGCAAGCCATGGTGGACGTACTGGAGGTCGTGGTCGCAATAGTGGGCGTGGAGAAGCGGCAGCGAGTGCGACTACGTCTGTGTCTGCGTCGGTAAGTGTTGCAACCTCCAGGAGAAAATGCAAGTGTACCTCGACAGTTTGGGATCACTTCGACATAATTGACGAGGTGGATAATGAAGGTAACACTAAACATATAGCTCAGTGTAAATATTGTTTATCTAAATTACAAGGCGACACTATTCACGGCACCACACACTTAAGACGACACTCTGAAAAGTGTCTTCAAAAGCTTAGCCAATCTAGCGGACCCGAACTCCGCCAAACACAATTATCTTTTGATCGCGCAACCGGTGGTCTAACCACTTGGAAATACGATCCGCAAGAAGATCGTATGGAAGTTGCGCGAATGATAGCTGCTTTAGATCAACCACTTAGTTTGTAGAGCATCCTAATTGGCAACGATATATTAAGGTTATACACAATCCTAATGCACAGTTCACTTCAAAAACTACTCTTAGAAAAGATTTATTAAAATTATTTAAAAAAGAAAAAGATGCATTAATAAACCTTTTACACTCGACTAGCGGGTGCGTTGCGTTAACGGCAAATATTTGGTCTGCC